AGGTCAGAGAGAGAGGGAGACACAGAATCTGAAACAGGCTCCAGGCTCTGAGCTGTCAGCACAGAGCCTGATGCGGGGCTCGAACTCACGGACTGCGAGATCATGACCTGAGCCGAAGTCGGATGCTTAACTGACTGAGCCACCCAGGCGCCCGGCAAAAAAGTTAATTTAATGTATGAGAAATGTTTGTCCTGACAGCTCATCTCTGTTGAATGGATAAACAAACTATGGTACTTCCACTCAGTGGACTACCACTCAGCAGTAAGAATGGATGGGCTATGGTTACACACCACAACATAGATGAGTCACAAAGTAATTATGCTGAGGAAGAGAACTCAGGCAAAACAATTCATACTATATGAAATGTAAAATATCCATAGAAACAGAAAGCAGATCAGCGGTTGCCTGGGAAGAGGGGATGGATTAGAATCAGGTGGAGCCATATGGCTAACATCTCACCAAGGGAACGTGAAGTGAAAATGATGTATAGTCATTTCTGGGTATTGCTCATAAAAACATCCCATGCAACCCTCACTCTGTCTTCTTCCCCATCCTCTAGTTGAATGGAGAGAACCTAGATGAAGGGACAGCCACAAGATAGGAGGAGACTGGATTCCTGAATAAGTGCATGAAGCAAATCGCCTTTGACTGGCATTGGACTATAACATGAAAAATAACTAAACTATTATGGTGTTAAACCCCTAACACGTTGGGATTGTTGGTCACAGCCAGAGGCCAACCCTAACTCACAATCCAACGCAATCTCTACCAGAAGATAGCTAGCCAGTCTTCTCAAAGTAAGGTTCCACCCCAGGGGCTTAGGCTGGTTTCTTGACTGGCAGACTCAGCACTGATAGTGGCGAGGCTAGCTGTGGGAGGGAGCAGTCCATGTTGCTGGGCCAATTTTGTCATAAACCCACTGAGAAAATCCCAAAATGGCTAGGAAGGGGGACTGCCTGATAGTCACAGAAGGTGTCATACTGCCCACCAGGTAAAAGAGGTTCTTCCATAGTGAGGCCCTTTTGGTGAATGTCCACCTGAGACACAAATCATTTAATGCTCTGAAGCCACTCTGGGTAGTTTATGCACATTTGTCTTGCTCAAAACTTACTATCACTAACCTTCAGTCTGTTTCCATTCAAGTTTCTGACCAATAGACTAAACCATTATCCAATGCCCAGGAATCAGTGTGTCTGTACTTCAGGGCTTCCAGGCACATTTCCCTTTCCTAGGTCCCTTAGGCTCTCTTGGAGGAAGTCTGGGTGAAGCCAGCACACTGTGCAGAGCCATCTATAAAATGGGCTTTAGATTTTTCTTCCTCAGTCAACTTATATCGTAAACAATTCCCCATGAGACATGAATATCAGTAACAGGAGAGGAATGTAAACAATTTGCTCAGACAACCTACTGCACTTGTGCCTTTAGGGCTTGCTTGGACCCAGGCCATATATGCCACTCCTCTTGGTAATAGAGTACTGCTGGCCACCCCTGACTTTATGCCTGGGTAGATCAGATAACATGGTACCTTAGGTCACCTGGTAACCTGGTATGCCACGGTCAGACAACCAGTTTCACCAGACTCCTGGAGCAAGTCAGGAGCATCTCAAAAGGAGATGCTACTTGCCAAAGGAGGGCATAACTTTGTTCCAAAATTCAATGCCTGAATATAAAAACCAAAGGCAGAACTACTTACTCTGCAACCTGATCCAGTAAAACCTTCTCTCTTTGTATGGTCCCCCCTAAAGTTGACAGCTTTCAAGTGACCCAGTAATAAGTAAAAGTAATATACCTAAATACAGTATATTTTGCCACACAAGTCTAAAGAAGCCCACCAAGTATAGTACCTCTTTTATTAGTGATAGGGAGTGTGATGTACAGCAATTTGTCCTTAATTTTATAGGGAATATCTCAACACACCCCAGACCCCTGGATAGTGCACTGAGTGGACAGACCACTGTATATTTGTGAGATTTATTATCTGCCTTCTAGCACACACATCATGCTTACCAAGTCATCTAGGGTATCTCCTACCTCCTGTTCTCAAGGCCCATCAGAATGATGTCATCAGTGTCACAGTAGATTACCCTGATAGCCAGTGGAATGGTGATTTGGTCAAAAATTCCTGTAAAGTAAGTGTGTTCAGAAAGTGACATATTCCTGAAGCAAAACAGTAAAGGTTTACTGCTGCCCCTGCCAGAGGAACACAAACTATTCCTGAGGTTTGGTATAGAAGAAAAAGCACTTACTAGACCTACAGTTGTCTATTATAGGCCAACAACTGCACCCACATGATCCAAGAATGACCACTCTGAAAAAGTGCCTGCAACTGGAGTCCTTACCAGAATAAGTTTGCCATAATGCTCTGTAATTCTTCAAGACAATCTATCTTCTCCATCAATAAGGAAAATGTGGCACATGAAAAATACATGTAAAAAAGTATAAAAAGACATACATACATATATATATATGTGTGTGTATATATATATATATAAAAGAATATTATTCAACCTTAAAAAAGAAAAACATCCTGGGGTGTCTGAGTCAATTAAGCACCCAACTCTTGATTTTGGCTCAGGTCATGATCTCATGGTTCCTGAGTTCCAGCCCAGCCCCAGAGCGGGCTCTGTGCTCGCTCTCTCTCTCTCTCTCTCTGTCAATAAATAAACTTTAAAAAGAAGAAGGAGGAGGATGAAGAGGAGAAAATCCTACCATTTGCAACAACATGGATGAACCTGAAGGACGTTTTGCAAAGTGAAATAAGCCAGTCACAAAAAGACAAATATTGCATGATCTCACTTATATGTGGAGTATTAAAAAAAAAAAAAAAAAAGCTGAACTCATAACAGAAAGTAGGATAGTGGTTACCAGAGGCTGGGGTGTGGAGAAAAAGGGATTTTTTTTTTTTTTAAGGTGGAATGGTGGTTTCCAGGGGCTGCTGTGGGAGGGGAGAATAAGGAGTAATTATTTAACAAGTATGGAGTTTCAGTTTTGCAAGATGAAAAGAGTTCTGGAGATGGATGGTGGTAATGGTTGCATACAATATGAATGTACTTAATACCACTGAACTATATGCTTTAAAATGGCTAAGATTAGGGGGTGTCTGGGTGGCTCAGTTGGTTAAGTGTCCAACTTCAGTTCAGGTCATGATCTCACCATCAGTGAGTTCAAGCCCTGTGTCTGGCACTGTGCTGACAGCTCAGAGCCTGCGGCATGCCTCAGATTCTATGTCTCCCTCTCTCTGCCCCTCCCCTGCTCACTCTCTCTCTCTCTCAAAAATAAAATAAAACACTTTAAAAAATTTTTTAATGGCTAAGATCGTTAAGTTTTATGTTGGGCATATTTTGCCACAATAAAAATAAATAAATGGGGGGGAAAAAGAGTATCTAGCTTCTATTCTGTCCAAACTAAGAGGTCATGTTGATGTAGTGGGAATCACCCTGAAATCCTTCAAATCTTTGATGATGGCACTAATCCCCATAATGAGATGAAGTATTTTTCTTTTTTCTTTTTCATTTTTTTGGGGCAGAGAGTGAGGGAGAAGGGCAGAAGGAGAGAAAAAGAGAATCCCAAGCAGGCTCCACGTTCAGCGCAGAGCATGAGGCAGGGGCTTGATCCAGACCCTGGGACTGTGACCTGAGCAGAAATCAAGAGTCAGACGCTCAAATGACTGAGCCACCTGGCCACCTAAGATGAAGTATTTTTCGTTTAGGTTCCTGGCACTTAAGGAAAGCTCCAAGGCCATGTAGCACTGCTTCTCAAAATAGCCCTTGCTCCCATTAATTAGGCTAATGTCATTATTCCGTCTTCTTAGTGATACCAAGAGCAACTCTACATATAACCACTACATAGTTGCAGGGTACCACTGGTCCTGGCATGAGAAAGATTGCACTCAAAACTTTTTCTAAAAATGTGCACCATGTGCATATCTCATATATTCAAAAAAGTAGGGAAAACTCATTTTAACAATTAAATACATAATTATTACATTTTTAAATGCTCCTTTGTGTACCACTCAAAATCCTCTCCTGCACACAACTTTTGGGAAAACACTGACCTAGTATGTGCCCCAGTCATTTTCATCTCATCACACTGGTTGTAACTGTGTATTTAACTATCCACTTTCCCCACCAGACTGGGGACAGGAGTGGGGTCTGAACTCTGCTATCCCAAGCAACGAACGCTGGACTCCTAGTTGACCATACGTTGCAAACAAAAGACCCAGACCATTCCCTCGTCCCTTTCACCTCAAACTATCCACGGGCCCATGAGTTCCGGCTGGCTGATGTTGAGCAGCCACTTCGCCTTTTTTGGCCTCGATTTTTCTCCGCTGCAAAATGGGAACGACCATACCTGCCTCCTCGTGTGAGGAGCGACTCTGCAAGGAGTCAGATGGTGGGTGTGAAAGTACTCTAGAAAATAATTAATTCACTCATCCATTTAGCAGGCAGTTATTACAGGCCCGGGGCGGTACAGCACGGTTACCACAGCAACCACCGTTCCCTGGCACAGGTCGCATCCCGGGAGTCCACCAGTTTCTCACTCTTACAGAACTTCAGGTGGTGACCTTATTCAAAATGGCGCAGGCAGCCTCGGGGGCTAGTGCGGCGGCGCGGCCGCCGCGCCCTATGACCTGCTGGCAGCAGCAGAGGGGGGAGCCGGGCGCCGCCATATTGGCTGTTGTCCTGCGAGGGGAGCGGCGGCGGCGGCGGCGACGACGCGTGTGGAGCGAGGGATCGGCGCGAGCAGCGGCATGACTCGGAGGCGGAGCAGGCCGAGCGGCGGCGCGGGTCGGCGCGAGCGGGTGCGAGCCGCGGGGCAACAGAAGCCCCAGGCTCCCGAACCCCCGCCGCCGCCGAGCCTGGAAGCTGGAGCGGGTGCAGGGCCCCCGGAGGCGCCCGCGGAGCCGGACCGCCACGGCCCCAGGGAGGAGGACGAGCCCAAGTTGGCTCCCGGACCACAGGTAGGAGCGAGCGAGGCGAGTCCGGCCGCTCCGGCACTTTCACCTCCCGGGAGCGGGGCCGGGGTGAGCTTGGGGATGAACCATCTTCCACCGGCTGGGGCTGAGGCTTTCTCCCCCGAGGCGGGAGTGGAGGCTGGACCCTTCTCTCCAAGCCGGAGCATGGCCCGTCCTGTCCTGTGACCAGGCTGCCTGCCCTCTCCCGCCGCCTCCGGGCTGGAGCAGGGGCTAGACTTTGTGGTCCTATACCCACCCACACTGGGACTGGGCTCTGATCCTGAGGCCACAGCCCAGCTCTCTGCCCTTCTCCCCCTGGGCCCACCTGCTCCACCACCTACCCACAGAGCAGCCTGGGGCGCTGTGGCCTGGAAGGCTACAGCCTCTTCCCTCTCCCCCCACCCTGGGAACGGCCCCACCCTTTCCCTTCACTGCCTGCAGCCACTGCCCCCTCAGCAGCTGTGTGCCCCCAGCGTATGTCTCCTGTGGCCTCCCTCCTCTCCCTGCCCAACATAGCAGTTGGAGCAGACTGTCAGGCAGCCCCGAAGACTATTTAGTGGGGCTCCTGCACTGAAGTGAAAACCTAGCAAAGCCTTCCCTTTCTTCCCTCTATACCCCTGACCCACAAGGTGGCCCATCTCAACCCTCAGATCCCTGGGTTTGGTGAATCCTGCTGAGAGTGAGCAGTAGTAGCAGGATTCCGCAAAGACTCCAGCTTGCCACCTGGAAGAAGGTCATTTTCTTTTGAGCAAAGGAGATAATGGGAGGTACCCTGCCAGTGTTCACTGAGAGCCCGGGGTGACATGAGCCTCAGTTGCTCCGGGAGGGTTGTGGCACATGGGGCTGGGTGGCTCGCCCTAAGCTTGCTCTGACAAAAGAGTTTTGAGTTGGTCTTTTGGCTGAGCCTGCCAAGGAAGGCAGGCTCCTGCAGGAGTCTTGGAGGGTCGGATGCAGCGCCGGATGAGGATGAGGCGTGGCGGAAGATGCGTTTGGCTCTGCAGACACTGCATCGGGCAGCAGGGGACTCTGGGAGGCTGGTGCAGCCAGAAGGCATGGCTCTTGACAGCCTTCTAGTAGAATCTCTGGAATTGTGCATGTGAGTGGGGATGTCATTTGGGGTACCATTGCCAGAAAGCCTTCCCTAACTTTCCCAGTTGCGTGAGGTGCCCCCTTTGTGCCCACAGCCCCCTGTGCTTCCCTTTGGTAGCACTCCCCATTCTTCAGTGAGACATTCTGTTGATGTATCTGTTCCCTGCACTGCACTGTGAACTCCGCAGGGGCACAGACTATGTCATCTATCTCTGATTCTCCATGCCTAGCCCTGGGCCTTGCTGACACTGAGTAGAAATAACTAGGTGAATGGGAGAGAGAATGAATCCGTTGAGAACCTGTGCTTATTGTAACCTAGTTTTGATGCTGGTCTCCTTTGTGTTTCAGATCACAGTAAGATTTTTAATTAATGAAAATGTCACCACTTATTGAGTGTCAGAAGCCCCACCTTCACCCCCACCCCCTCCCCTGGGCTGAGACTGGTTCCAAAGGATGCAACTCCCCAGGTTGGACCCCACCCTTGCCTGGTCTGACTTTAGACCCTGAACCTGCTTCCCCCCTCTAGCTTTCCTCTTTTGCTTCTCTGGGCCACCCTGGGAGTCCAACAAAAGGAGAGAGTTGGGATAGGGAGAGCCAGGGGAGCTGTTGTTTTCTCTCCTTCCCATTCAGACCAGCAATATTTTAGGGTCCCCTGCCACTTAGGTTATAATATTCATGGCCAAAATTTTGGATAATGGCTTAATCATTTAATTTTTATTTAGGACGCAGCTTTCCTAAGAGCTATAATCATCATTATCTACTCCACTGCCTGACCTGCAAATTCATTAATTTATTCATGCCAGACACTTTACATACCATACTAATAATCTTCCCACCACTCCTGTTCTTTCCTCAGCATTTAGTACAAATGTGATGAGTTAACTATTGGTTAATTATTAGTCTACTTTTGCTACATAAACTCTGAGAGTGCAGGAACCACGTCAGTTACCATTGTACCCCTATGCCTGGTGATTAACAAATATTAATGAACTGAAGGATATAAATACGATTACACTGTTTTTCAGATGAAGAAACAAATGCTCATATGACATATGCCCAAATAACTCCCACTATAGGTCACAGGTGCCTCCTGGCCCCCCAAAAAGGACACTCTTGTGTACTGTGTGGGATTTACAAGGCATTTTTTTTTATTATAGCCACAAAGAGGTAAAACAAACTGACAAACTCTTTTCTGATTGTACCCCACTTTTTTGCTGGGGAGGGGGTTTCTGAATGCCAGAAGCAGACTTTTGTGCCCTGGTGAGAAGCACCTGCTGAAAGGGTTGGAGTCATTGTTCTGCCCCCTAGCGTGCCTGTGGTGAGGATCTCTGTCTCCCACTGCCACTTAAAACTCTGTGTACACAGAGTGGGTCAGCAAGGTGAAACTCACTGTCGCATGCCAAAGACAGCGAATAGGACCACTTCCAATCCACAGATAGGTTCTAATGTCCCAGGTCACATATTGCTTTGGTTTTGTTTTAAGCCAATTTCTTAAAAGCCAAAAGATTCCTACAAACTGGATTTGTGCCATGTCTTAAAACTCTAAAAATCTGGTGCCACTGAGCCCAATTTCTGCAAGGCAGTAATACGAAGTTTTGAGTAGTGTCTGCCCCTGATATGAAGGACACCCTGATCTGTGCCAGGCCCTGGGCTAGCTGGGAATGCAGAAGTGAATCAGACATGGTCCCTGCCCACAAAGGGCTCATGGTTCAGAGAACATGTATATAGTAATCACAGGTAGGCTGGAAGAGCCATGATTACTCTGAATTCGAGTTCAAAGGCCACTCTGGTTCCATCCAGACCCTTTCGCTCACTTTGGTTACTTGTACACATTTAATTTTTTTTTTTTTTTTAAGTTTATCTACTTATTTTTGAGAGAGAAAGAGAGGGAGAGCATGCGCATGCACAAGCTAGGGAAGGGCAGAGAGAGAGAGGGAGACAGAATCTGAAACAGCCTCCAGGCTCTGAGTGTCAGCACAGAGCCTAACACAGGGCTCGAACCCACGAATGGTGAGATCATGACCTGAGTCTAAGTTCGATGTTCAACCGACTGAGCCATCCAGGCACCCTGCATTACTTGTGCACATTTAAATGTGGGACCTTGAGCTAGCTTATTGGGGATCCCAAAAGTCCTTATTTAGAATTGTTTCAGGTCACTAAACTTTATTGATCTGTTCACTAACAATCGAAATCCTCATTCACTAAACTAAAACTGTTACTACCTTATTAGCAAAGAACAAAAAACCTTACAAAGCAGCTGAATAAGGCAATAGTGAGAAAGTGTTTAATGTTCCAGACTTGGGGTGAACTCCAAGCTCAGTCTCTTTCTAGCTTTGTGTTCCTGGGCATGTTTTTTTCCCCTCCCTAAGCCTCATCAGCAACATCACAAGAAAATGGAGTAACCCACCTAGCACCTAGTACATCAAGGCTAGAGCAGGAGTTGGAGATAGTGGGAACTGTGCCAGATGGCCATCCAAAGCCTGCCAGCTCTGCTTCTGTCTTTCCATCTCTCTTGGACCACTCAGCCTGCAGTCCAGGGGCACACTCAGTAAACCCTCAGGAGACTTGCCAGACTGTAAACCAGCAGTTGGTGCTGGTTGAGCTCATCTGGTGTTTCCCATCTCATCTCTACGGCACCTGCTGAGACCTGCCTGGCCCAGTTTAAAGAGACTCTAGAGACCTGGTTCCCCACTGCTCAGAGTTAAACCTGCTCCCTCAAGAGACTGGAGCACAGGATTAGTCAGTATCTTTATTGAAACCATCTCATTATGTTTGATCCACTGAGCAAGCATTATGACCTCTGTGCTAGGGCTTTTATTTTGGGCACAAAGATAAATAAGATAGTCCCTATACCCAGGAATCTTCCCCCTTAAAATCATTGCCCACCCAGCCTGGCCACTTTCACTGCAAGTAGTAGGAAACGATACAAGAAGGGGTGGATCCCTACCACCTCTGGTTCTTTGTAAGCCAGTAGAGATTCACTATGTAGAAATGTTAAAGGGCCTTTGAAGATGAAGACTTAGCTGCTGAGATTTTTTTAATTTTTAATTTACTTAAAATATCCCCAGAGCTATTATCTTAATATCTAATATCAGATAAACTATTAAGATCCTAACGACTTTATATACTGAACCTAGAAGTTTTAAGAGCAGGGGCTATATTTAACTCATTTGTGGGGTATTTAGTGTGTACGGTCCTCATGTGCCCAATAAGTGGCTGTTAAACCAAATGAAAATAAAAGAAGTAAAAGTTAGGTTTCTTCCACTTTGTGCTTACCAGCGTCTACTGCTGGGCCAGGCTGGCAGTCATTCATTCATTTAGGCCCGTGATACACGCATCACACGCAGTCTCCCTCTCACCTGATCTGGTGTTCATTTATTCTGCAAATACTAATGGACACCTGATCTGTATCAGACCCTAGGCTAGCTGAGGATACAGAAGTGAATCAGTCCCTGCCCACATGTGTGTATTAATTGTAGTTAGGCTAGAAGAGCATCACTTCCTCTGAGTTACGGTTCAAATCCTAGATCCTAGTATGCAGCCTTTCAAAGAGTTTTAGCCCTGTTAGCATGTTTTCTCACATGTATGACAGTGATGCCAGAGTCACATTAGGGCAGCAAGTGCTGCATGTCAAGCACTTAGCACAAGTGGTAGCTATGATTATTATAGATATTTGGTGCTGAAGATGCACAAATATGATAACCAATAGAAGATTTCTCAGAGCTGATGCTTCAAGGTTGAGTAGAAGTTCCTTTAGAGAAGGTGAGAGAAAGTGTCTAAACAAAGAAAGCAATGTAGAGACCCAGAGGCGAGAATTGCCCAATTCAGGCAGAGTAGCATGAGGTCAGGCTGGAGAAGTTAGCAGGGTTCTAGAAAACCACAGCAAGAAGTTTGGGCTTTATCCTGCAGGCAGTGAGGAATCAATGAAAGCTTTTAAATAGGAAAATAAACATGTTCTTGGGTAAGTTCTCTGATAGCATGAGAGGACGTAATTCTCAGTGGAAGAGGTAGCTGTGATTGCTTGATTCCACCTCTTCCTCATCCTAGCCTAACTAATCATCAGATCCTCCGTGTTTTGCTGGATTCTGTCCCAGACCTACAGAATTAGAGTCTCTAGATCCAGAGCCCAGGAATCTTGTTGCTAAACTGCCCCAGGTGATTCTGGTATGTGGCTGGGTCTGCTAACTGCTCAGTTGAGGGTGGTATGAGGAGCTTTGTGGAAGCCTAGGATATTCTTCAAAGAATAGGGCTTCCGGAGAGGGGAGCTTTTCCATAAGCAGGAATAGAAACAGCCTTAGTTTTAAAAACAAAAAAACAGGCTTTCCCCAGTTTTCCAGTTGTTGCCCCATTAATGTTATTCTCCAACTGCTGATCTTCCCTTGTGTATCCAAACTCTTACCATGCCCATTACATGCTGTCATCTCTGCTGAATGATCAGGATGCAGTGAGTCATGGGACACAGGTCCTGCCCTCAGTGTTCTCAGTGTTGTGGAGAAGACAGATCTCAAAAACTGGGACACGTACGATAAGCTCTATTCAAGAGGTATGTAACAAAGCATTAGGGCATCCCAGAGCAAAGCAGTTAATTCTGCCTGTGGACTTAGAAGGAAGTAACACCCTAACTGTGCCTAAAAAAGAAGAGGCAGAGGGGAACAACATCAGTGAGGGTGTGGTGCTTTATATATTTGGGGAAAGAATGGATATTGGGGAAAGAAGTGGTTAATGGTTTTTCCTGGCAGGATGTGCAGAACAGAAAAGGACTAAGGAGAGAAGGTCTTGTGTCCCAGGAAGGGCCCTTTGTTTACACCCTTTGGTTCTGTGCCCTTGCTCCCACACTCATCCTTCAACCTGTAGGTGGATGAACATGCTGCAGTCCTAGGCCATCTCCTTTTAGTCCCTCCTCAAGGCTCTCAGCTCTCCAGCAACTTTTGTGGTTCTCTCTCCATTCTGAAATGAATAGGTTCTTCATCTACTCTGAAAAGTGATATAGGGAAACTAGATAGTAAGAAGGACCCTGAAACATGGAAGGGCCTTATTAGGAAGTTGTAGCCAGAGATCGTGGATGGGGGGGTTCAAAGGGGCCTTGAAGGTCACCTGTCTAGTCCTCTGTCCTGTGCTTCAAGTAATAACTTTGGATTGGGCAAGTCTCACTTAGTAAGTTTCCCTGTCATTTCTTCCAGGACAGAAGAGGAAAGAAACTAACGGGTATTGAGCACCTACTGTGTGCCAGGCCCAGGCCAGGTACTTTACATAATTTATTTCCTTCTGTCCTCACAACTCTGTGAAGTATGGTTTTATTCTCATTTCATAAATGAGGAAATTGAGGCTCAAAGAAATTGAGTAATTAAGATAATACTGAAATGGCAGAACTGGGTTTTGAACTCACAACAGTCTATCTCCAAAGTTCATACTCTTCCACCCATGAGAAATCCATGCTCGGGTGACAGAGTAGGTTATATGATTTGCCTGAAGTTCTAAGTTATTAAGCAACAGTTTAGGCCTTCTTGTGGCTGACTGCACCCAGAAAGCAGGTTCAACAGATGAGCTAGCCTTGGGCAGGTGGAAGGCCACTGGGGTCAGAGAGACTCGTTACCCTATCCTTGGCTGAGCTTGTACAACCAGAGAAGATTCTCCACAAACTGGCTGATATGAAATAGCTGTTCATCCAGGAAGGAACTGAGACAACAGACTGAGTGGGAGTTTGGGTGAAAGCTCTAGGGCACTGAGGTGCACTTATTATCACCTCGTTAAGAATTAAATGTAGCTCTGATTGCCAGCCTCAGAATGGTCTGAGATTCTTCACACTGATGCCCTCTCATCAGTAGCCCAGAGTCACAAAGATAGGCCTTTTAGCATAGCATATCCAGGAAGTGGCTAGTTCAGCTTGTCTTTAGACTCTGTCCTTTGTATAGAGAAACTAAAATGTGAGCCAGGTGGGCTTTTAAGCATTTATTCATTTATTCAGTGAATACCTGCTATGTGTCAGGTCCAAGCCAAGCCTGGGTTCCCAGGCACACTTAAATGACCAAGATGCACTCCCTGCCCCCAAAGAGTCCTCATTCCACCAGGGGTTTGAGACAGACAGAATATGTCTATGGCACAGTATGATAGGTACTATAGTAAAAGAATTAGTTCTACTCAGCCTGGTCCAGCAAAAGCTTGACCTTTGACCAAGATCTTAGGGCATGAGTACAAATTTGCTGGGGAGTGGAACTGAGATGCTGAGGTTTCCAGGGCACAGTGTATTTGCTGGAGGAGCAGTACGAATAGAACCTAAGATTCTCAGATGTTAAGCTTGGAAATGAAGCATGGAGAGGTCAGCTGGGGCCAAGTCATGAAACACGGGGTCCAGAAAGTGCTGCAGTAGTGAACTCAACCAGAATGCCAGGAGATTAAAGAGAGACCAAGGTGGGAAAAGGAGCTAAAAGAAGGAGATACTCAAATTGGATAGGTACATGAGAAGGCACATAATAAGCTTACATGAAGCAGAGAAGCCCAGTACCCAGGTTGGTTGGTTGGTTGTTTTAATTTGTATATTATTTTGTTACATTAATTTTAATTGTGTGTTATTTTAATTTGTGTCCCTGACTGATTCTCCAAAATGAATATGAGGCATCTGGGAGTTTGGGAGTATTGATGTCCCCATGCATGAACCTGCCTGGTTTAAGCATGTGTTCTTAAGGCAGAAATTCTATGTTATTCGATGTTTCGCACTACCTAGCACAATGAGAATGGGCTCTGAGCATGTTCACTGAAGGAGGAAATGAGTGGGTGAATGGAAGAGTAAGTGGCAGTGACTGAGCTGGTGACTTTTGGTAGGCTGGGTATTAATAATTTTCTCTGCTTCTGGAAGGGAATTTTAGCTGCTACTGCTGTCTTCTGCCTTGGTGACAGGGAGGCTCTTGGAGTTGGGTGCCTTGAGAGTTGAATGCTCTAACGGGCCATTTCAGAATAGAATTTGGAAGCTATTGCAGGACCACTGGTTAAATACAGCATATGTCTTGGGGGAATCCTCTACAAACATACACAAACTCTTGGGATTAAAAGGAATCCATGAGAGAAATGAGAACAGGTTTAGTGCTGGCTGTTAGATCCAGCCTCAGAGCAGACCTTGATAGCTGCCTCGCCTGGTGACCTGGGTTATTCTCCAGCAATTCCCAAATTGTGGACAGAAAGATGAGGTGGGAAATTTATGCCCCAAAGAGCTATCCAGATATGCCATGAACTGTATCATTGTTAATAATCGCTATTGCTTACTGTGCACCCACTGGGTTACAGGCACCATACCATTAGAGACTTTACATTAGCAGTTTTCAAAGTATTTGGTCTTAGGGACCTTTTATACTCCTAAAAATTATTGAGGACCCAAAAGAGCTTTCTTTTGTTGGTTTTATCTGTTCATATTTACCAAAATAAGTATTAAAGCTGAGAAAGTTTAAAAATATTTAGTTACTAAATCATTTAAGAATAACAATATTAAACCTGTCATGTTAACATACATAATTTTTTAATGGAAAATACATTTTCCAAAAAAATAATAGAAGACTGGTCTCATTTTCATTTTCACAAATTTGTTTGTCTGGCTTAATAGAAAGAAGCTGGATGCTCATATGTGTTTCTGTATTCCGTCTGCTGCAGTACATTGTTGTGAAGTATATTTTAAAAATCCAGCCTCAAACAGATGTTGTTGGAAAAGGAAGGAGTATTTAAAAAAATTTTTTTAATCTTTATTTATTTCTGAGAGAGAGAAAGAGAGACAGAGCATGAGCAGGGGAGGGGCAGAGAGAGAGGGAGACACAGAATCCGAAGCAGGTTGCAGGCTCTGAGCTGTCAGCACAGAGCCTGACGCGGGGCTCGAACTTATCAACTGGGAGATCATGACCTGAGCTGAAGTCAGATACCCAGCCAACTGAGCCACCCAGGCGCCTCTAGGAAGGAGTATTTTAAAAGCCTTTCCAGGTGATTGCTGATAATTCTTTGCAGTGTGGAATCTGAGACCATTTTAATGAAGTCTTTGCACTCATTACATTAAAATCTGTTGGTTTATCTAGCACTTTGAATGGATTTTTTTTAACAATGCATGATCCTGAAACATCATGCTTTGCTCATTTGGAAAATAGGTTCACTGAGTTATGCAGCTCTTCCAAATGTTTTCCCATTTCATTTTACAATATCAAAAAATAACATTTGTCACTATAACCACCATTTACACCAGAAAAGTCTAAGGATTGGGAAGCTTTTGATTTCATGATGGTGGATACAAAATTCTAATTTCCAAATTTCCAAAATTCTGAATTTTGCCTGAAAGCTTGAATTTTGTCATTGGCCACAAGTAAAAAGTTGTTTTCCTGGAAGTGATGGGTTCATTTTGTTCATTTTTTGAGAAAATGTCTGGCATTTTTCAAGTCTGAATAACCAGAGTTTGTCAGTCATTCTTCAAGTAAAAATGGTGTTCCATGAGAAAAATTGGCTTCCTTTTCCTTTGATTTTTAACTATTCTTATCCAGAGATATCTAGAATACCCTAGCATAATGTTTCTCAGGCCAAGACAGAAAAGTCTTGGACCTGGTCAGGTGAGAGAGCAGAGATATAGTTGCATATGCCTGCCCCCTGGGCAAGGAGTGGCTACAGTCTAGGGTTCACCTGGCTCCTTGACTGCTCTGGGAATTTGCATGCTAAAACAGGACCCTTGTGTGAGTAACCCCACTCTCCAGAGATTCTGGTTTTGTCTATAGTGAAGCAGAATTTAATCTTGGAGTCTTTTTTGAGCAGATCCCAAGTCTAGAACCTTTCCTAGCTCTTCCCCTATCTTTTTCCTAGTTCCAGATCTTTAGCTGGAGAGGCTCTGACATTTAAACTGAAGTAAGAAGGAATAATTATTGTCCAGGGCTCCTGAGTTTAAGGATCAGTTCCCTACCCATTATGATGAAGAAGAATGGTTGGGTGTTTCATTCATTCTATAAACATTTATTGTTCGTGTTCTTGTGTGGGGATACTGTGCCTGGTGTAAAAAATGCAGCTTGAGAACAGCTACTTTAAAAGCCTGAGTTGACTTCAGGACATAAGGGGTAATGATTGACGGGAATTTGAAAAATGGCAGGACATTGCAGTCAAAGAGAATTCTGAACCAAGAGCTTTTCTATAGCAAAGCAAAAATTTGCAGGAACAGTGGTAGTACTGACTGAATATAATAACATCTCTAGGACTTGGGATTCTCACCACCCTCTGGCAGTAGAGATGAAAATGTCAGAGAAAAAAGTCCCCAGGTTCCACCATGCATCGTATTCAGGGGCAGGCACTAAGATTTAGGATTAAGACAGCTTTGGAGATAGCCCCAAGAATTGCCAGGCCAGAAAGAAGAAAAGTATACCAAGCTCATGACAGTGGATAACTGGTTTCCAATGTAGATTTATTAAGAACAGAACAGCCAGAGGGCCTAGGTGATGATAGATTGAGTGTCTACTGTATGGCTCCTTTGAGCTAATAAGCTTTACATCTCTAATGTCACTTAGTCTAGACAACCTTATGCAATGTAGGTGGTATCATTCCTGCTTCAGTTAGGACCTAATTAACTTTCTATGCCCTGTGTTTTCTTTTCTTTAACTGGAAAGACAGCCTGTCCTGTAAGTTCACTTCCATTGATGGCTAATCTCATTTATAATGTGGACCAGTTTGGCTCTAGGGAGAGCCACATTATTCCATAAATGAGGCCATCTGATTGTAATCCCCAAGGACTGTGATCTTTCACTCTTGCATGCTTGAGATTGGAACCATTCAGATGAAGCCCAGGGTAGGGGGATGGCCTTTCTCTGTGAGAAGCAATAATTTCAGAATTTCAAGCAATGTCTCACTAAGCTGTATTGCCATAGTGACATCTAATAAATTTGAGTTAGCCACTATGTGCCCAGCTGATCCTATGCCCTTTGGTACATTGTAAGAGATCCAGACAAGAATTATACCTGATGCTTGCCTTCTAGGAGCACATTCTAGTAGAAGGGACAAAAAAATGCAGGTAAATAAATTAAGTGGAAGGCACAGATGCTGTAACCAAGGCATAATGTGCTATGGAGATATGGAGAGGAGAGGTAAATTATGACAGGAACCCTCTGGGAAAGACTGGATGAAGTTGGATTTAAGCCCTGCCCAACTACTTATTGATAAACTTGGGAAGGAAGGGGATTTAAAACAGAAGATCCCCTTTAGCAAAGACACAAGGTAGAGGTAGGAGAGTATAGAAAGTATTTGGGGAACTTAAAGAATGACTTCATGGGGTAGAGGGCAGAGATTAAGATGTCTAAAAGTCACCTTAAATTCACTGCACATTAGAGATGCTTGTATTAAAAAGGAGAGTGACATATTTTCTGTATTTTTCAAGCTTAGGCCTGATTTTAAATGTTTCCCATCACTCCCATCATGTTCATAATTAGTACCATATGTTGAGCAACGTATTATGGGCCTGGCACTGGAGTAGGTGCTTTGTCCATTTTAGTATATGTGCTGCCAAAGTGAGCATGGTGCTTTGTCCATTTAATATTCACAGCCAACCCTACAAGTTAGGACTTAATCCCGTTTTACAGATGAAGAAACAGAGAGTAGGACTTGCCCAACATCATACAGCTGGTAAGTGCTCGAGGCCCAAGATTAGTGCCAAAAACCAGTGTTATTTCCACTACACCCAGTGCCTCCCACAAGTACTTTGGCACTAAGTATAGTCACACTGATCACGTGTTTAACTTACAAAAATTCTGTATTTGCTTTTAAAAGGAAAAAAACTGCTTATTGAACATTGCGCATATATGTTATACATTTGAATTCTTGGTTGTGCCGGAACTATATATACTATACTTCACAATGCATACAAAGAATTTCAGAATAATTTTACTCATAGATTTTCCTCTTATGTAGTAACTTTAGAACCTAATACCCAAATGAAATGAAACTCTGTTGTAGTAAAATGACATGTCCTGGTGTTTTCCATAAGAATATGGATGGTCACCATCAGTACAGGAAAAGGGACTTGGGTGTTGACCTCACCTGCTCCCTCTGGAGTTACTATGGCACCTTATAGATAGCTAAGAAAATTTTCCTGGGGATACTTCTCAGAAAGGCCTCCTTTGCCTTAACTTCTCAGAATACCATCCTCCTCCATCAGACTCCCACCCTTTCCATAAGATGCTCACCACCAGTGGGTTAGAAGCTATATCCTTATGCAGGTACAGTTAAGCAGTTGCCTTGTCCACTGAAATGTGCCTTTGACAGAAACCTTTTAGGTAGTATCTCACATGAGTTCCACATATAAGATTTCTCTTTCTCTGGTACTCTTTTCGAAGGTCTTTGTACTGCCCCAAATGTTTCATTATGCTTCTGGTACTACTATTTGGTTCTTTTTTTTTTTTTTTTTTTTTTTTCTCCTAGAAACCAGAGACCCAGGTCAGTGTAATTGTAACATTACAGGTTTAAGGATACCCTGATGCCAATTTATTGTGAGAAAGTGATTTTATTCGAGAAAGATGATGGCATTTATTTTCTTGGTAGGATGAGGATGATACCCTTATTCCTTTGCTTAGGCCTCTGCAAACACCTGTTACCTAGTGGTGGGTAAGTTTGGAAGGTATATCAGTTAATATAACTATTGCATGTAATAAACCACCCCAAAACTTAGTGGCTTAAAACAACACCATTTATTATTTCTCATGAGTCTCTGGGTTGACTGGGTATTTCTGCCAATTGGGTTGGCTTGACTGATCTCAGCTGGGCTCACTCATGTTATCAGATCCACTGGCCAGTCAGCGAGGAAGACTCAGATTTCTCCATGTGTCTCTCAACATCCCTCCAGCAGCTAGCCCAGTCATGCTCTCGTGGGAGGCAGAGGTGCAAGAGCGAGCAAGCCCAGCCATGCAAAGAAGCAAGTAGAAATGCATACATACTTTTAAGCTTATGCTGACAGCAAATTTGCTAACATCCCATTGGCCAAAGAAAGTGACATGACGAAGTGTCAGAGAGAGAGGGTTCTACAAAGTTGCAGAATAGCCCTGGAAGCAGTGGCATTGGTATAGTGGTGAGCAAAGCTGCCTTCCAAAGTTGCAGGATATAGGAAAGCCATTAATTGGGGTCATTAAATGCAATCGGGTTCCCAATCATACCCCTCAATGTGACATAAAACCTATAGACTTATATTTCTATGTCATTTGTCCTAGAAGGAAAAAAGAAAGTCCAAATAATAATTACTGTATATTGGGTCTATGCTTTGAGCATGCACAGGGCTAGGCACTTTCCCTGTTTATACACTGAGTCTCACAACAACTGTGCAAGGTAGGTAGGAAATCAGAGCTCGGGAAGTTGAATAACTTGCTCAAGGTCACCCAGCTAATGTGTGCTCAGCGGGGAGGCATTAGAATGTGTGTCAGTCTGACCCACAAAGCCCAGATTCTTTTCACCATACCTCACTACCTCTCAGAACGCCAGGGTCTGCCTTACCTTTTCTCCAACTCAGTTTTTTATTGAATTAATGCTTTCTGACTAGCTGTGCAAAACCCCGCCTCCAAAATTCTGCTGTGATCCTAATGGAATTGTGCAGCTTTCAGGAAACCCTGACATTCTCCCAAACTCAGCATTAACTGAGAGCATCCCCCACCCCCAGATGGGAATTGGTCTATGGACTACACAGACAGCCTAAGAATGGAGGGCTCTCCCAGACATACCAGAGAAGGAAGAGGACCTTCCTTTAATCTTCAAGATTTGGAGACATCAGGGCATTGGAGCATGAGCTTTGAAGTCAACCTCACTGGGACTCAACTCCTAATTCAGCCATTCACTGGCTCTAAGACCTTGAGCAACTTACTTAACTTCTTGAAATTGTTTCTTCATCTTTAAAAAAAAAAAAAAAATGGAAATAACACCTAGTCTGCAGAGCTATCACTAGTACTAAAATTATGTAGTGCCTAATAAAGTGCCTAACCCAGTGCCTGGCACATAATAAGTGAAGGTATTAGTTTTGTTGATATTATTTCTAAGCAAAACCTTTCCCCTCCTGGGAAACCCTGTTTCTGTCTATTGGACAGGTTCCCCCCACATCCACCCAGTCTGTGCAGACTTGCTGCCTACTATGTCATCGGGAACGCAAAGGCTGGGAAGAAGGCCCTTCCCAAAATGGACTGGTGTTGCAGGGTGAGAAGCTGCCCCCTGACTTCATGCCAAAGCTCGTCAAGAATCTCCTAGGCGAGATGCCTCTATGGGTCTGCCAGAGTTGCCGAAAGAGCATGGAGGAAGATGAAAGGCAGACAGGTCGAGAACATGCAGTGGCGGTAGGTAACAGCTGAGGAGGGGTCCCTGAATGCAGGAGGGCTGCCTGCCCAGAGAGATCAGGCTGTTGAGCTGTTCCTTCCCTGTTCTCTCAGGTGCTCTCCAGCAGACCCTGCGCCCGAGCACTTAGGGGCTGCGGGTTGGGTTCACAATTGGGGCAAGAACAGAGAGGCTTCAGGGAGCCCCCTTGCCCCTGAGGAGGGTCTCTGCAGTGTGAGGGCCAGCGTGTAGGTACTGGTCGATGGAGATCCTGCCCCTTCCATGTCACCGTGCTGCCTTCAGCTCTGTGGCAGCTTGAAAGCCAACCAGTATGATACAGAGAGCAAAGGCTGGTTTGAGGATCTACCATGTGCCTCAGTTAGAAGGCCTCCAAGATGCCAAGAGCCATCTAACTGGCATCTCCTGAATCACAGCAGTCAGACTTGCCTCATTTCTCATTCATTCCCCTCCAGCCCCTTTCTTTTCCCCAGGGTTATGTCCGTTTCAGGACTTTTGACTTAAAGTCCCTTCCTTTCCTTGGCAGCTATCAGGACTCCCCAAAGGCCCACAGTTGACAGGCAGTCTGTATCCCTACCAGAGTCTCTGTCACCAGTATCCACACACTTCACTTTATCGGGAGCACCTCGGTCTCTCCCAACAAAGGCCTGATCCACGTTGGCCCTTTCACCTGGGGTTGTGGGACTTGGGCTTTGACCATGGCACAGGACCTGGAGGAGGAGGTGCTCCTGGGTAAGCTAAGGCCACAGAGGGTCAGCTCTGATGTTTGCTGTTTTACCATGAGCTTTTTTCTTCCCCCTTCTCCAGATCTCCTTGTCACACACATCCTGCAAATCACAGTCTTGTGGGGGTGACTCTCATTCCTCTTCGTCCTCCTCTTCATCGTCCTCGTCCTCCTCCTCCTGCCATGGGAACTCAGGGGACTGGGATCCCAGCTCCTTCCTGTCAGCACATAAGCTCTCGGGCCTCTGGAACTCTCCGCACTCCAGTGGGGCCGTGCCGGGTAGCTCACTCGGGAGTCCTCCTACCATCCCTGGTGAGTCTCCAAGCTTGGGAGAGAGCCAGGCCACATAAATGTAGAGAGCTATTTTCCTGTCCACTTTATTAAACAAATCAGGAGGCCAGTTATTAAAAGAAGTAAAAGGAGCTGTTCTAATGGAAGCAGGGGGTACCTAGCCCTTGACTGTCTCCGTGGCACCCCTTTCCCCACAACCCTGAAGTTGAAAAATAACTGTCATTGGCTGCGATAGCTTTCCCATCAGATTCAGGAGGGGGCATGGTGAACACTGGCTGAACTGAAAGTGGAGTATGGGAGTATCCTTAGGGAATTAGGACTACAGTCACCTAATACCTGACCCCTGCAGCAGCACAGAGGTCCTGAGTGCTTTTGTCTTCCCAGACCTCTTTTTCTCCACCTAAAGAACAGATATAAAAGCACTGCACTTCTATCAACAAGAAGTTGGTGCAAGCTGCCAGGATTATTAGCCAGCTTCACAGATATATAAGCCTTCTTTAGATCCTGAGATAACCCTTAGAGACCCAAAGAAAAGGTCTTGGGTTATTGAGGTATGATATAAATACTAATTATTGTCTGCTACTAAATTGAGGGCCTGAAACTGGTGTAACACCATATGTTAATTATACTGGAATTAACATAAAAGATAATAATAACTAAATTAAGGGCCTGAGTTCTCTAGAGGGGTGCTGCTCCCAGAATTGTGAGAGATGAGTAGAATTCCACTTATTTTAATGCGTAAGTGAAAGTGAATCCTCAAAGCCTTTTCCCACTTCTCTGAAATCGAGAGCCACCTGAGAGTCTGTTACACCCTGGCTGCCTCAGTCCTCATGGCCCAGAGGCAGAGCTTTGGCCTGCTGCTCCACTGGCTTCTGTAGACCCTTCCCTGGGCCTGAGGAATACCTATGAACAAGCAATCCTAGAGAGGCCCCGAGAGACAGAACACATATCCCCTGTTTGTGCCACAGCAGAGGTGCTAGGACCTTCTGTGGGGCGGGCATTCCTGGTGCCTTCTTTCTCAGGTCTGGGCTCCTTGAGCCTGTCTACCCAAGTTGCTGCCTGCAAGGAAAAACTCTCCAGTCCGAAGCACTGTTAGACTTTCCCAAAAGCTCACAGGGTCCGCTATGCTGAGAGGCTATCCCCAGACAGGTTCCCTCTGGTCATAGTAAGCAGGATGTTGTAGCAGTGAGCCCTTGGGCTTTCCTTCCCAGGGTCTTGGCTCTCACTCTGACCCCTTTCTTCCCCATCCGTCCACAGGTGAGGTTTTCTCTCTCTCGGAGCACCACCGGCACTCAGACCTCACTGCTCCACCTAACAGCCCCACTGGCCACCACCCCCAGCCCGCGTCGCCGATCCCATCTCACCCCGGGTCCTTTGGCTCACCACCCCATCCACACCTGCCACCTGCTACCCCGGCAGCGCCTTTCCCTGCCCAAGCTTCAGAATGCCCTGTTGCCGCTGCTGCCGCCCCACACACCCCAGGGGCATGTCAGACTCCCCACCTGCCCTCCACCAGCATGCCGCTCCTGAAGATGCCTCCACCATTCTCAGGGTGCAGCCACCCCTGTAGTGGGCACTGCGGCGGGCACTGCAGCGGGCCTCTCCTCCCACCTCCCAGCTCTCAGCAGCTCCCTAGCACTCACAGGTAAGTGAGTGGCACAAAGGGTATACTCCCTGCTAACTTCGACTTTGAGTTCTGAGAGACTTTACAGAGCATACCTTTGGGGTAGAAATTGAATGATAGATTCTATGTCTCTTGTATCATTTTTACAATCCTAAAAGAAGTAACTGTTGTCTTTTAAAAACTTGGAAAAGTTCAGGGTGTCTAACGAAGAAAAAATTTCCTCAAAACCTAAAGATAAACCTTTAACACTGGTATATTTTCTTCCCGATGTCTCTGTATATAAATTAGGTCTCTGTTTATATATTTTTGTGTAGTTATTTTTTTTAACATTATAGATCATTTCCCCAGTTAAAATTCTTCAGAAAAGTTTCCAGTGGTCTCAAAATGTCTTCTTGCATAGCAGTAGCATAATTCATAAATTATTTTATCATTCCCCTATTCCTGGACATTTGGGCATTTCTAGTTTTTAACCATTAAAAACAAGGCTGTAATAAACATTCTTGTACCCAAATCTGTGTTTGAGTCAGGAATTATGGCCTTAAGGATTCCCTAAAGTAATTCTAAGTACTGAAGAAGTTTATATTAACATGTATGTGAAAGATAAAATTCTTTGTGGAGGAGAAAGGTACATATTTTTGTATTAGAAATCAGAGCTGTGTTTATTATGCATTTGAATTTTCTCATTCTAAAATCCCACCACCCCAATGCCACCACTTTTAGCAGTTTTCCCTACGGGTCTTACCCACACAGTGGTGGTGGTGGTGTCTATACAGTTCACAGTTTTTTGTTGTCCTCTTTCACATAGCATTCATTGTGTGGTTCCTATGTGGTCTTCTGGGTCTCAGCTGAAGGGTGGAGAATATTCTCCATAGTGCACTTCCCTGTTCTCTAGTTGCTAATGATTTAAATCATTCCAGTATTTTAACATTGTAAATAATGTCTCTAAAGATGTCTTTACCTAAAGCTGTTTCCCTCTTTTGGGGTTTTCTCCTTGGAAAAGGTCCCTCAGAATGAAAAAAGTTCTCCGTTTAAAAGATGTCAGAAGGTCTTTTTTGAGAAGGGTTCCTAATACATATTGAAAAGTTGCTTTCCAAAAGTCTCTCCAAATTTATGTAACCACCAATATTAGGGTGCTAGCTTCTTCATATTCTCAAGAGCATGGGTTATTTTAATTTTGCTAATGTAGGTGAAGAATGGTCATTTTGGATTAAGCTTCTCTGAGCACCACTGATAATGGTTCCTGCCCCTCCTTTTCTACCCCTTGCACAACAGACTGCCCTGGGAGCCAAGCCTTCTCACTGCTCCTTGCCCTGCCCTTTCTCCTGGCTCCCACCATCCCAGCCTCACCCCATGTCCCCAGCCCTAGGGCATTCCAGCTTCTGATGGCCAGGCCAGGGCTCTTGTTCTTCTGGCTCCAGTTTGGGGACTTTGTGGGCCAGTGTCTTTTTCTTATCCTGGAAAAATAGTCTATGTTACGTGATGCCCCCAGTGCTTCCTGAAGTCCAGAGACAGAGCAGTACAGTGGGAGAGCATGAGCTTTGCACACAGGCAGGCACAGGCTGAGCCCTAGCCTCTCCTTGGGCAAAGCAGTTAAGCACTCTGACCCTTAGTTACCTCCCTTAGTTACCTCCACTGCAAGTTACCTCCACTGCAACATCTATTTTGCAGGACCTGGGAGATGCTTAGAATATGCTAAATATAGTACCTGTCCCAAACAGTACAGTAGCTCTTAGAGTCTGGCCCACAAGGCACATTGACTTTCCCAGATTTAAGACCCCACAGCTAAGACAGCTCCACTCACTGGTGCAGATTTGGTCTAAGGACCTAAAGGGTAAAAGGAAATTGACCCTGTTGACCTCCTTTGGATGCTTCAGGAGAGCCATCAGCTCACAGCCCACAGGGTGATGGCCCTGTTTTTGTGAGAGGCACTGATAACAATCTGACTGCTTCGGCCTTTGTGGGATGAGGCACATGAAGGGTAGTTGGGATGGCAATGGTGAGAATGCTTCCCCAGGCTCCTGCTGCAGCCTGCTCCTTCCATGCCCTCCCTCATCTGTGGGCTTATCTTTCTCCCCCATCAGCAGAGACCCTGGGTGTAAAGGGCACAAGTTTACACACAGTGGCCTGGCCTGCCAGCTTCCCCAGCCCTGCGAGGCAGATGAGGGCCTGGGTGAGGAAGAGGACAGCAGCTCAGAGCGCAGCTCCTGCACCTCATCCTCCACTCACCAGAGAGATGGAAAGTTCTGTGACTGCTGCTACTGTGAGTTCTTCGGCCACAATGCGGTGAGTGAGCCTGCCCAGGCCAGAGAGGGCTGAGGGCCAGTTAAGGTGAGCCAAAGGAGCACCCTACTCTCCCCAGAGTTCCCCTTGCTCAGGGGGATTATAACCACACTGGAACCTTCTGAGTTCTCGCAGCCTGTGTCCACTCATTTAACCCTTACAGCACATTTGTGAGGTAGGGATTTTTCAACACTTTGCTCCCTTTGCTCTTTTCCTGGTTTCTCTTTAAGATTGACTTTTTTTCCGTAGGCAAAAGGAAAGGAAATGGTAGAGAGAAAGCTATGTTTCTGATGAGTATGTGTATGTGTGTAATCACAGAGAAGTGAACAACACTTGTGCGTGATGAAGGCAGAGTGGAAGCAAAGGCTCTCAGTCCTCCAAGTGTGAGAGACTGCGAGGGATAGGCCGTAAGCACAGGCGGCACCAGGAAGAAGGTTCAGGGCAGAGTATGTGCTGTCTGTACAGAGAGCGAAAACAGTTCAGAAGTCTGAAAGTGCAGAGCAAAGGGCCGCCGGCTAGGGGAGAGCAGTTGAGGACAGAAGAAATGAAAGTAATCACATTGTTAGTCACTTTTGAGCTAGGGGTTATTATTCTCATTTCAAAGATGACAAAATCGAGGCACACAAAGACTTAGTGACCTGCCCAAGGTCATACAGCTTCCGAGTGACAAAGCCCGGGCTCAAACCTGCTTTCCTGGCTCCCAAGTCAGTGGGCTCACAATGCTGTTGCATACCTCCCACTCCCTCCGCCCACCGCTGCCTTAGCTCTGGGCCTGGCCGAGGCTGAAGCCACTTGGCCTTTGTGGCTGTGGTAGAAAGAACAGTTGTCTCGCTTCTCACCACATGTTCAGTGCCAGCGGGTGGGAGTGCTCCGGGCTTCCCCGGCCCAGGGTGTGTAACGTCAGCACCTCCCCCTCCCCCAGCCACCCGCTGCCCCGACGAGTCGGAATTATACAGAGATCCGAGAGAAGCTCCGCTCGAGGCTGACCAGGCGGAAAGAGGAGCTGCCCGTGAAGGGGGGCACCCTGGGCGGGATCCCTGGGGAGCCCGCCGTGGACCACCGAGATGTGGATGAGCTGCTGGAATTCATCAACAGCACGGAGCCCAAAGTCCCCAACAGCGCCAGGGCCGCCAAGCGGGCCCGGCACAAGCTGAAAAAGAAGGTGGGTGTGGGGGGGAGCCTAGCTGTACCACCTCTCCTCCCTAAGGAATCCCTTGCCCCAATCCCCCAAGACTTCAGGGGCACAAACAGTGCTGGCTGCCAGAAGCCTTAGCACAGCTCACTGCTATGGGAAGGTCTGTATGAGTTTGGGAGGCATAAGGGTCAGGGAGCCTGGGGCCAATGATTGGAGAAAAGACGAGTCCTGGCCTCAGAAACTGCTGGATTCCTCAAAGCACAAGAATTGCTTCAGTCAGTCAGTCATGTATTCATTCAGCAAACACTTCTACAAATACTGGGAGCCAAAGCATGACGCAGTTAAGTTGTCTCCCTGGAGAAGCTCGGTCCAGTGGAGAGACTGACACAAAACTGGACGAGCACATTAGCATGTGTCAAGCACTGGGATAAGGGAACCCCCTCCCCCCATCTTGCCTGGGCACGCTGGAAATGGCTTACCAAGAGGCTGACTTGAAAGCTGAGTTGTAGGGAGTGAGTTCAGATTCCTTAGGAGAGTTCTGGCAGCAGGCATAGCACATCCACAGCAGTTTGGTGTAACCAGAGCTCAAATAGAGCAGAGGCAGGACAACTAGTAGAGGGAGAAAGGGCCTCATAGGCCCTGCTAAAGAGCTTTGACTTGATCCTGTAGCTGAGGGGAGTTCCTGCAGGACTTTTATCAAAGGATGCACTAGGTCAGATCTTTATTCCACTGTGACTGTGTGGCAATATGGAAGGTAGCCTGGAGGGTTGACACTCCAGGAAGGAATATCGAGGGCCAGGGGAGAGCTGAATGATGCTGGGGCTAGAGCAAGGGAAGCAGACATGACCAGCTTTGGTAATCTGATTGTAGAACAGAGATGAAGGAGTCAGGATTTCTCCCGGGTGTTTGCTTGGATGACTGACAGGATGGTGTGCCCTCCATTCACTGAACGAGGATGAGATTGGCAGAAGACAGGAAATTCAGTTGGGGCACGTTGACTTGGAGATTCTCAGGAGAATTGCCACCTCCAAGTGGAGATGGAGGTGTGGGACTGGGAGTTTCCAGCTTGGAGGTGTAATTGAAGCCATGGGAAGGACCCAGCCATGGGCTGGGTGAGCTCCTCAGAGGGCTGAGGAGAGAACCCAGTGAGCTATTTCTGGACAGCCCTGCTCCCAGGCGAGCCCCAGGGCTTGACGGCCCGTCCCCTGCTGCCTCATTACCTCTTCACCTGCCCACCCCCAGCTGTGTCTGCACAGTGCCACGCTCGGGAGCCCAGCAGCCGAAGAGTTGGGTTTGACAACCAGCTTGCTCCAGGTCCTGGGTGGTCAAACGGCCCTGGTGCTCTGGAAAGCAGCAGTTCTACATCTTTTTCCAGCTCAAAGGACAAACCAGGACCCTTTCCCTGCAGCCTGAAGTAGTGAGCCAAGAGGTTCCACCGCTGCCTTCAGAAAATGGTCAGCACTTTCTTTCTCCCATCCAGTGCTGCCTGGCCAGAAGTGTCTAGTGGGCAACAGCAGTCTCTTTAGCCTTCCCTAGCCGCTTAAGGCAGTGGTTTCCAGTTAGGTCCCAGCGAACACACCTTGAAGTTCGTAGGCCTGCGTGCTTTCCGTAAATCTGTGCTCATACATCCCTACCCCTTTGCTGGTAACGCCAGTAACAGTCTCTTTTCTCCCCTCCTTTTCCTTCCAACAACTTCCTTCCAAGCTCAGACTTCAGGTAACTCCTGCTACTGTACTGCCACTCTACCTTGCATGTCTCCCTTGGCTGCCATTTATCACCCTCTATTCACTCATTCAGAAACTTGCTGCACAGCTACTGTCTGCCCAGCCCAGTCTAGAGGCCAGAATACAACATAGCACCAGGCAGTTGCAAGGTCATATGATAGGGAGTCATGGTCATTATCTGTTTATACATCAGCCTCCTCTCCAGTGTCCTTCCTCTCCCTCAGACTTAACCACAGTCTGGCTGTCCATCACAAGCTCCCCTGGGAGCCGTCCAGTGGAGACTGCTCATTCTCTCCCACCTCAGGAGACCAATAAAGCTAAGTGTCTTTCTGCTCCCTTATATCATTTGCAGACCCATGACTGTCTGTCCCTCATGTACTAACCCCTACTCCTTTGAAACTGACCCTGGCTGTGTCATCTGCAACCTTTCAGCCACTCCTATTCATCCATTAAAGGCTGTCACCTGCCCCTTCCTCCACTACCCAGGCCATAGAGATCCCCTGACCATCATTGACTCACTGTCTTACCAATACTCTCAATTCCTTGCCCTGTTGCCCTTACATTACACCCACTCAGAAAAATCGCAGCCCTGGGTTTGACCCCTACCTGCCTCTCCCCTTTTGTAATTCAAGGAAATCTCTAGATCAGATCTGTCTGTGGCACCAAAGCCCCTTGGTCTCCTGCTTGCTTGAGCCCTCACATTGCCCAACAGGCATAGCTCCCTGATCTACGCTCTTCATCATTTCTGTCTACCACAGCTTCTTTGTCAGACCTCCAGATTCTTCTCAAACCTCCAGGCTTTCCCCACCCAGCCTTTCTTTTTTGTTAGATGACCTCACTTCCTGTTTCAGCAAGGGAAAAAAGCCAGCAGACAGGCACTCTCTCAGCATCTTACCACTCCACCTGCAGACTTGTTGTCATGAGGGAAGAGTTTACCCCTTCTCCTGCCTAAGGCCTTACAGTCCTTTCCTGCCTCCTCAGTCTAACCTCAGCTTCCTGCTCTGGCTTTGGTCTCTCCTCTGGGCTGTCTCCCAGTGTTTCACTATGCCCAGTATTCTCTCTTTTGAAAGCAAATTGTGCCTTGAGGGTACAGCCTCCCTCCCTCCCTCTCCCTCCCCCCCCCCCCACCTCACCTCTTTCTCTTCCCTGGCAAATTTCTTGAAAAATGTTATCTGCATTCACTGTCTTTGCACTGTCTTCACAAACTATCCCCCGGGCCCCCCCCCCCCCAAGCCACCAGTGACAACTTTGTTGCCAAATCACACTCTCCTGGCCCACCTTCTTTGTCAGCTAGGCAGCATCTCACATTTTGTATTGGTTGTCCTTTTCAAATATTGCTTTCTTCGGCCCTGTCTTCAGCCAGGCGGGAACAGGGAAAGGACAATGGGAATGCCGTGTTCTCCAGATTTCTCACCTTCTCTGATCTCTCTTCTGTCTCCTTTGTGGACTCCTCTTCCTCTCTCTGACCCTCCCCCTAAAGGATATCTTTCTGAGAAAGAGAAGCCATCCAGATAGTGTTGTTCCGGGTTCGTTATGTCCACCTGTTTCCTCCCTGCCCTTCACACTGATATCTGCTGCTACTGGGCACCTCCTCACAAATGTCATACCAGTACTCAAACTGAGCACATCCAAAACTGAGCTTGTTATCTTTCTCCAAAGAGGCCTGCTTTTACTTCTTCGTTGTCTGTCTAGTTAATGGCACCACCACCATCTACCCAGTTGCCTGAACCAGAACCCAGGATGCCATTCTGGGAGGAACGCATCATGGTGATTGAGAGCAGCGGGCCTTGGAATCGGACCTCAGTTTGGAACCTGGCTCTGCCACACTTGCTGGATGACCTTGGGCAAATCACTTCATCTCTAAGCCTCAGTTTCTTCATCCACAAAATGAGAATAACAGTAGAACCTAACTCAGATGGTTGCGAGAATGAAATGGAGTGATGCACAGAAAGGTTCGACAAAACGTGTGGTCAGGGAAGCTGCTGCAGCAGCACCAGTGGTTGTCAGTGTTGTTCTTGTAACTCCTCTCATTCTCTCCCCACCTGCCACCAAATCCCAGCCACACTACCTCCCAAATAGCTCAGACCATCCACTTCTCTCCACTGTACTACTACTACTACTTAAAAAGCCTTCAGTGGCCGAACATTGCCCTTGGGATCAAACCCAGACTTGAGCATGGCCTGCAGGGCTCTTAAGGATCCAGTCCTTGCTTAGCTTGCCAGCTTTCTTTCTCAGTCTCTCCCCTCTGGCCTTCCTGCCCACCACTCCCTACCACTCTCCTAAAAGAAATTGGGGCTTCAGCTCTCCCTATGAATGTTTGCATTCCCTAAAGATTGTGTGTGCCCATTTCTCAGTCTTTGCACTTGCTCCTCCTCCTGCCTAGAAAGTGCTAGTCTCTGTCCAGGACGATCCCAGTCACCCTCCAGTGCCCAGGGAGATACTGCCTCCTCTGTGGAAAGCACCTCTGATGGCCTGGTCTGGGTTCCCAGAGTATCGATAGTACTTTCTTCCCTGTTACTCAGCATTAAACAGCCTGTTTGCATGTCTGCCTCCCTCAGCAGAGTTCTCATGCATAGTTAAATTGCCCAGAGCCCAGCCCAGTGCCTCCTAGTTGATGGTCAAGAAGTGATTGTCAAACAGGATTGAAAGCCATAGGAACTGCAGATCACACCTGGATGTGCTGTCCCAACTCTGCCACTTTCTAGCTATGTAACCTTGGGCCAGTTCCTTATTCGTTCCAAAGTCACATGTCCTCATCTGCAAATTGAGGATAATGTTTGCCAGGGGCCATTGTGAGGGTGAAACGAGGTGACATGCGGGAAGGGTCAGGCTCATGGCATGTAACAGAAAGTTAGTGTTCTGTGCTCTGTCCTCCTCTCACTACCAAGCCATACGTGGTCCCACATCGCTCCCTCTAACTCGTTTTCAGATTTGAAATCCTCCATAGAACTTCCATTCCTAACAGAAAAAGTTGGCTGGTGCAGGGGAGGAGTGATTTGAAAGGCCTTCCATTCCTTTGTCCATCCTCATGGCCTTAAACTTCAGGGCACATGGCTGGAAACACTGCTCCAGACTGAGCTGCTTCCTCACATGAGCACCATGGTGCCAAGGCACAGCCTTGGCAGCACCCAGGGAAAGGGACACATGCCCCCTCAGATGTCCTCCTAGCAACACCATGAGGAATAAGTAGGTAGTTTTTCTACCGAATTTACAAAGGGGGACAATAAGATTCAGAGAGAGTAAGTGATTTGTCCAAGGTCCCACAGTTGTGGCGCTAGTCAGTTGCAGAGCCATATTTAAAACAGATGGATGCTTGCTGGGGCACAGAGTCACGCTCTTTAAGTTGACTCTGAAGTGGTCGCAAGCCCTCTTTTCTCTCCCCAGTTTCGTTTTCCTGTTTCTCCCCTCCATTCCCACATCAGCTAGAAATACGTGAAATGTGGAAGTCATCTAGCCCCTGGCCCAGCACCACCATCACCTCCTTCCCGTGGGCTTTTGACATCTGTCTCCCATCTCCCTCTAAAGGCCTGTTGGCCTGCTGGTCACTTGAGGTTGAGCAAAGGAATGGGGTGACTCAGAGCCCAAAGACTCTCATTTTTACTCTCCAGAACGAGATCTGTTGACACTGACTAACAGTCCAGCCCCCAAGTTCTCACATAGGTAGAGGGGCTGCTTTTACATCTTGTTGTGGGGCCCCATGTGGCTGCCACTGTATGCCATTAGGCACATTTCAGGCATGGCCTTGATTACTGGAGGCAGCTGAGTGGTGAGTGGCCTTCGTATGGGAACTTCGCCCTCTTCCATAGTGCCCATACACACATTCCTGCCATCCATAGCAGTCTGACCTACCATGGTGGCCATGGTGGTCTCACAGCCCATCTTCTTAATGATACCCCCCATGATACCACAGCTTTTTTTCCCTACCACCAGCAGAATTGGAGAGAATGCTTCTGTAGCAGCCATCTGCCTCACATGCATCCCCAGTTTTGTCTTCACTCCAGAATTATTGTTCCCCCCTTTTGCAGATGAGTCCACGGAGACTCAGCAAGTGATTGAACTGCTTAAGCTCAAGCCTGGAAGGCAAGGTACAATTAGCTGCATTCCTATCCCTTTGAGTCCTAGTGTCCATAGGCCCTACGACACCAGGGCTCTGGATGAACAAGCTATAAAAACCCTATCCTTTGTGGGTCTGTCTCCATCCCCAGGACATGCACCTGTCTGATTGCATTTCATCCTCACTCCCATAGGGTGGGTGAGCAGGCCAGGATGGCAACACCCTGCCTCTAGCCAGTTAGCCGCAAAGGCGGGCCCCAGGCTGATGTGTCAGGTGTCACACTGTGCCTGGTAGCTGCCTGGCCTCCGCTGAAATTGCGTCTTATGTTGGCAGGAAAAGGAGAAGGCCCACTTGGCAGCAGAAGCTCTAAAGCAGGTGAATCGTAGTGTTTCTGGAAGCCGGGAGCCAAGGCCTGCCAGGGAGAGGCTCTTGGAGTGGCCTGACCAGGAGCTGGATCGAGTAAATAGCTTCCTGAGCAGCCGTCTGCAAGAGATCAAGAACACTGTCAAGGACTCTATCCGTGCCAGCTTCAGTGTATGTGAGCTCAACATGGACAGCAATGGATTCTCTAAGGAGGGTGCTGCTGAGCCAGAGCCCCAGAGCCTATCCCCCTCAAACCTCAATGGTTCCTCAGAGCAACGGCCTGACATTAATCTTGACCTGTCCCCTTTGACTTTGGGCTCCTCTCAGAACCACACGTTACGAGTTCCAGGTGAGCCAGCCCCACCATGGACAGAAATGAGAGGCTCCCACCCACCATGGACGGAGGTGAGGGGGCCCCCTCCTGGTATCATCCCTGAGAATGGGCTAGTGAGGAGACTCAACGCCGTGCCCAACTTGTCCCGGGTGATCTGGGTCAAGACACCCAAGCCAGGCAACCCTAGCCCTGAGGAGCCAGGCCCAAAGGAGGTTCCCAGTTGCAAGCAGGAGCTGCCCGAGCCTGTGGTCTCAGCTGGGAAGCCGCGGAAGGGCAAGAGACAGGGCAGTCAGGCCAAGAAGATCGAGGCAAGCCCAGCCCCACGGTCCCCTGCCAGCCTCGAGGTTCCCAATGCCAAGGGCCAGATCCCCAGCACCAAGCAGCCAGGCAAGGCCACAGAGCCTCCCAAAGTGGGCAGCTGTGCTGAGGCTGGAGAAGGGAGCCGGGGGAGTCAGCCAGGACCAGGCTGGGCTGCCGGCCCCAAAGCTGACGAGAAGGGCAGCTCCTGGCGAAACTGGCCAGGTGAGGCCAAAGCACGGCCTCTGGAGCAGGAGTCTGTGCAGCCCCCAGGCCCAGCAAGGCCACAGAGCTTGCCACAGGGCAAGGGTCGCAGCCGCCGGAGCCGCAACAAGCAGGAGAAGACAGCCGCCTCCTTGGGTGAGTGCACCAGGAATTGAGTGGCTGACCCCCCACCCCCACCCCAGCCAGGCCAGAGGGTGGAGGGTAATCCTTGCGTGTGGGCAGTGCTGCCCTAAGAGCATGACCCCAGAGGCCTGGCCGTGGACACTAAGCCCTCCTGGCTGTGTCTTCCTAGACGATGTGTTCCTGCCCAAGGACATGGATGGGGTGGAGATGGATGAGACTGACCGGGAGGTGGAGTACTTCAAGAGGTAGGTGTGGGGATGCCTTCTCGCCCACCCACACTCAGGCTCTCCCTCAGCCCGACTCCCTCAGAGGAAGAGCCTCTCCAAGCTCTCTCCCACCAGTATATTTCCTGGAACCCAGGTAGCCACATGGCAGGACAGGGCATCTGGAAAAGTATAAGGGACAGGGAGAAGGAGGCATGTCAGGCCCCAAGAACCAGGGCTTTCTCCAGCTTTATTCACTTTGTTTATTCATTTGCACTTTCTCTGCTCTGCCTGGGCTGAGCTCTAGGGTAGAGGCAAATCAAACACAGCTTAGGTGGGGAGAGAGAGCCATAAACAATGTTGAGTGCTGTTGGAAGAGTAAGGGTATGGGGCCGTGGGGGAGGCAGCTAGAAGTGGGGCGACAGGCGAAGCTGAAACGTAGGCGAGGCCAGGGCAGCCTTCCTAGTAGAAGTGGCAACCAAGCTGAGACCTGAGAAATAAGAATAAGTGGGCAAGGTAAAACAGGGCCTTCGTGACAGTGGAGCTAGTAGGTATAGACGTTTGAAGCTGAAAGCAACATGCAGTACCTAGGGGAACAGAAGGCAACCCAGTGTAGCTGCAGTAAAAATACAGTGTGAGGAGCAACCCTGTATCCTGAGGCAGTGTTGGTCTCTTAACACATTGTTCCCTTGGCTTGTGGGCACTCTGTCCAGAAAGCCAGCAGAGCTCACATAAGCTGCTAGATCCCAATACCCTGGAACCAAAGGACTTGTATAGAGCTGACTTGGTTCCTTTATTGACCAGGACACACAGGTCTAGAAAGGGGGTCTAGCAGTGAGAACCTCTAATTGTGCTTTTTTGGTGTCTCTCAAAACCAATAGGTTCTGTTTGGATTCTGCAAAGCAAACTCGTCAGAAAGTTGCTGTGAACTGGACCAACTTCAGCCTCAAGAAAACCACTCCCAGCACAGTTCAGTGAGGTATGGAGACCCCTAAGTGTTGCACGTACTCCCTCTCCCCAAGTTCTGTCACTTCTGTGCCCCCGCCAGACCATTTCATGCTCTGGGGCACATGGAGTTAGCCTAGCAGCTTACCAGCCCTGGCCCCTGTACCTCCACGGCAACAGCACCACAAGTTACACTCTCTGAAGATATCCTGGGCCAGACCCTCCTGTGTTCCCTCTTGCCTGTGCTCCTGAAGGGTCCTTCCTGCACTGCCATCCTTGGACTATCTCTGCCAGGCCCCTGCTTCCCTTACCATCTGCCTCTCAAGCAGCCTTAGTCCCCAGAGGACTGCCCCCACCGCTGACATTATTAGCCTCAGGGTTGAATCTCATTTGCCTGGCCTGGTAGGCTACCAGGATGCTTCCCAGCTAACACCATACAAGAAGGGGCCAGCCCCAAAGAACCAGTGAGAAGGCAGATGAGGTAGACCAAGACCTTGGAGAGGTCATTTAGGCATGGAGGAGTTGGTGAGCACTCTCCACAAATATGACAAGCTCCATGAAGAAATGATAGCTGGGCTGCCTCCTGAAGAAGAGATCTGGCCCTGAGCTGGGCTCTGGCCTCCTCTCCGAGCCACCTACACTGGTCCTTTGTCTGAAATACTGACATATATATTTTTTTAATGTTTTATTTATTTTTGAGAGAACGAGAGTGAGGAAGGGCAGAGGGAGGAAGATAGAGGATCTGAAACAGGCTCTGCACTGACAGCAGCAAGCCTGATAGGGGCTTGAACTCACGAACTACAAGATAATGACCTGAGCTGAAGTCGAATGCTCAACCGACTAAGCCACCCAGGTGCCCCTGCAATACTAACATATCAGATGATGTTCTGGACTGCAAACAGAAGACCAAGAAGGGCTGAGAACCATAGTGTAGGAGAGAAGGCTGGCTAGCAGACAGGCCTTGGTGCTGGGTTTGCAGCCTAATGGCTATGCAGTGCCCTGTCTTAACTCCATGCTCTGTCCCTGGGATCGGGCCTTTTCTGGCTGGCAATCACACAACTTGCCCTTAAGGCAACAGGAAACTGAGGCAGGTAGGCTGAACTCAGGGACCCCTGGGAGGGTGTCCTCACCTGTACTTCTCTTTTCAGTGCCAGGAACACGCCTCTCTGGGCCAGGGCAGCAGACTTCCTGGACCCTCAGCCGAGTCCCTTTGTCATTTTTGGGGTCAGGATTCCCCACCCTTGATGCTGGCCTCAGCTCCCCAGGAACAGCCCAGAGAGCCTGAAGCTAGGGCAGTCTTTGGGGCTCAGCTCCCTATGGCACCTCAGGCTGCCCAGAGTCAGGACTGTCTTTAGACTCACCTTAGCCCCTCTCTCTGAAAGGGCTAGTTCCCTGGTCTTTGGCCAAACTGAAATGTCCACACCCTCAGGAGCTTCTGCCAGGACCAGGGTGCCCTCCTGCCTCTTTTTTCTACCTCCACAGGATCCAGGAGTGACGGGGACCCCAGGCACTTTCATCTTTTGCCTCTTCTGAGAGTAAAAGGGGCACATCTTCTCCCACAGCCCAGTGCCCTTGTCAGCCAGAAAACCTCATCCAGCCATCTTCTCTCAAGGACTCCCTCTTTGGTTGATTTCTTTCCCAAGACTGGAGATGTTCCCTTCCTGTCCCACTCCCACCATAAGGGCTCTCCACTGCTTTTTCCACCCTCCTCAGGGTGGGAGCCCTGAGAGTGCATGAGAAAGCAGTGCTGGCACAGATTCGGGACCTAGCCTGGGCTGTGTACCCAGAGCCTGAGGCAGGAGTCAGGATGCATATGCTGCCTCTCCCCTTCCTGTCAGTAGGAGAGCAAAGACCAGAGGCTGGGCTCTTACCCTACCCTGACTTGGAAAGAGGTGTGACAGGGGAGCTGTCCCCTGGCAGGGTCTTAACTTTCATCCTCTGCTGGAGGTAATCAAGGAAGTCTATTCAATATTTTCAGCCCAGGGAGTAAAAATAGCAGGCAGTTGTTCCTACCCATGGGGACCCATGGAAACCCAGAGCCAACATGGGGAGGCTAAGTCAAAGGTCTCACTCACGGTGCAGCCATGCTCTCCTGTTTTCTCAGCCCCTGCCGGGTCAAGCTTCTTCAGGGTGTCCTGAGACCCCAACTGCCAGCTGAAGGTCTACAGTTTCTTCCTCCAAATCCCTATCCACCTGCCCAAGATCCTCCCTGCTCCTCGCCATCCTGGACCAACCAAAAGTTGAATGGACGCTGTGCCGTGCTGGGGCCCCTCAGGACCTCCGCAGAGCCGCTTCCTGGTGCTACGCAGCCTCCTCACTCAGAGCCCGGGGGCTGGACTGGCTTGTGGGCTGGGGGCTGATGGTACTGCTGGCCCAACACTGCTCTCTTTGTGTTTGGTTTTGTTTTTGTTCTTGTTTTTCAATTCTTTACTTTTGATACTGTGAAGATCTTTCCTGCCGAAAGATAAAGCAACATTTGGACACAGAGTCGGTGTGTTGGTGGTTTGCTGGTCTGGGATGGGGGTGAGGTGAGGAATGTACTCAGAAGCATGGGCTCTGCCTTAGTCATTAACCTCATTGAGCACATACTATGTGTCAGCAGTTCAGTAATTTCCTCTTAATTCTTACAGCAGTTCTAAATGGGACTGTTATCCCAATTTATAGATGAGGAAACTAAAGCTAAGACGGGCAAGTGACTTCAGTGCACTCAGTCTGGCTGACTAGGATTAGAGCATAGGCCTGTATAACAGCAGCATCTGTGCTCTTTCCTCCTGTTGGGAGGACTCTGGTATGTAAACTTGAGCAGCTGTTTCCCCATACTGTGTTTGTTTCCCCCTCTGCAAAACCAGTGAGTTGGAGGAGTGAGACTCAATCTCTTTGCAACTGATGTGAGATGGAGTCTGGGAAAGGCTTACGGCCTTTATGGACTGTACACCTGTAACCTGGGTGATTCACATTGTCAGGAGAAGTGGAGTAAATGAAGTTCCTATAAATTGGATCTGACTTTCCAATGGGAATGAGACCTATAACCTAAGTACTGGATTGTTGAGGATAATGAACCCTTCTGTAAAGTAAAGCAAACTACCTCATTCCTACCCCACCACCCCCCACAGTAAATCTGGTTCTTAAATTCAGATTTTAATATAATAGGTTTGTTAAACAATGCTTTCTCGTACACACTTGTGTTTCCAACTCCTTGTCCCCAATGTCATTTTCTCTCTAAAACTGACACTTAACTTGAGCTTGTGTGGGAAGCAGTGGAGGCTGTGGCCACTCAGTCACTAAGAGCCCTTTATGGAGAGGTGGGAGCAGGATCAGAAACTGTTCCCTCCCCCTTCTATTCCTCCCAGGTTGAATCCCACCACGGGCTGTCAGTGCCAGCTTCCTCTTCTAAAGATGTTAAAAACCATCACTCACAGGCTTACAATTCCTGGTCCCTGGACTTTCCTAATCTCCAAGAAAGTATGCAAACTCCCCTGTGAAACCTGTCTGTATATGTATTACCTTTGTTCTTTCCTTTCAACTCTTGCACCAGGCTCCCATGCTGCAACTGAACTGGCATAATTATCTAAAATTCTGCTTCATCATTCAAAAATTGCAGGTCTGATCAAGGAGCTGCTTTACCTACAGAGAAAAACCTGTGGGTGGCAGTCAGAGGCTTCCACAACCAGCCCCCACCTCCCAGCACTTCAGCAATACCAGATGACCTCAGTCTTCATCTAGGCCTGGCACTCTCAGGTCTCCCAACTTTCGCTCACACATTTCCTTTTTCCTAGATTACCTTTCCTTTATCATTTCCTGCTTATCCTTCACAGTCCAGCTGAAAGGCCATTTTACAATGAGAATCAATTTGCCCTGCCTTGTGATGCTTCCAGAAAGTACTACCTTATCTGTCTTAAAATATTTCTCCTGAATATCAAGATCCATTATATTTCTGTCTCAACTAATCCATAAACTCACAAGTCAGGTTTGTGTCTTCATCTTTCATTTGCTTCAGCACTGTGCACAATACCCAGCACGTGCTCATGTTAAATACATGAATGGAGGAAAGAATAGTACTGACCCATCACTCCTCTTCAAAAGTCACCAGTGGGCTTGCCTGGGTGGCTCAGTTGGTTGAGCCTTGACTCTTGATTTTGGCTCAGGCGATGTTCTCCCAGTGGGTGGGATGGAGCCCGGAGCTCAGGCTTGGCAATGACACCGCAGAGCCTGCTTGGAATTTTCTCTCCCTCTCTCTGCACCTTTCCTGCCCTCACGCTCATTCTTTCTCAAATAAAAGTCCCCAGTGAAGCTGAAGTTACTTTTGACAGGGCCCTGCATGCCCTGGTCCCTGTCTACCTATCCAGCTTTAGCTCTGACCACTCCTATCCCTACAGCAGCCGGCCACGTGACCCGTCTGTTCCTTGAGGAATCTGTGTGCTTGCACAAGGCCAGACCTTCACTCCTGCAGGGCCCTCCCTCAGAAGGCTTCTCTCCCTTTCCTCCCCTCCCTGTTCTGAGATTCTACACTTCTCTGGAAGCTCAGATCTAGGACTCCTCGAAGCCTCTAGTTCCCCAGGCAGTGAGTTACTCTAAGCTCTATCACAGCATTTGCAATAATAATAACTTCGTACATATGTACAGACCCTCAGCGAAAACACTGTCCTCAGTATTTTATTTATCCCTCACCACTCTGAACATACGTGTTGTCACATAGATAAGGACGCCAGTCAGAGCTGCAGTGCAAGTTGATTCGTTACCCGCGCCCCGTGCCCGGGATGGAGTCCCCGGTGGGGTCCCAGTTGGCCCAGTCCCGGAACGTGCCAGATGACGTCAGGCTATGGGCGAAGCTAGGCCTCCGGTAGGCGGGTCTCTTCTGTATCTCCACTCGTGGGACCTTCCACCAGGCTTCGTTTGAGCTTTTAGCGCATGCTCCAAGTCCTCCAGCGTCCCATAATGCATTGTATGACGCTTCGCCCTCGCCCCTGGCAACAAATGCGCAGCCGCCCAAGGGTACTTTGACGCTGCACTGCCTGACAGGGTTTCGGGAAAGTTTGTCCCTCTGCGCGATCCGGCACTCAGAGGTCGTTGCTAGGTGCCGACCTTCCGCTTCTTCACATCTGATTGGATCTCACGCAAAAATTGAGGCGGGGTTTTACCGTAGCGCGCCTGCGTACAGCAAAGGATGGAGGACTCGGAACCTGAACGGAAGGTGGGAGCGAGGTAGGGGTCGGTGCGGGTGGCGAGCAGCTGTGAAAGCGGGGGCCTGGGCCTGATTCATCTGTATCTGTAGCGTGTTCGCACAGATGAAGCGACTGCCACAGGAAGCCGCTCCGAGGCGGAGGATGAGGACGACGAAGACTACGTGCCTTACGTGCCTTTGCGACAGCGGCGGCAACTGTTGGTGAGGGCCTCGGGTCAGAAGAGAAATGAGGGTGTGGGAGGGAGGGTGGCATCCAGTGGAGTGAGCTGTCAGTAGTTGGGACCGTGGCCCCTAGGCAAACCAGGGACTGCCAGTCTGATCTGAGGGGTAGGGCACCTCCATGTCGCGTGGCACAGGACCCTCTCCCAAAAGCCAAGATTCTGACGCAAGCCCCCTGGGCCCGATACTCCGCTTTGTCTTGGGCTTGGCTCTGAGGGGCGCTGGTGGAACCTCAGCTCCAGAAGCTATTGCAACGAAGGCGCAAAGGAGCTGCGGAGGAGGAGCTGCAGGACAGCGGCAGCGAGCCCCGGGGAGATGAGGACGACATCCCTCTGGGCCCACAGTCCAACGTCAGCCTCCTGGATCAGCACCAGCACCTTAAAGAGAAGGCTGAAGGTGTGCTGGGAAGCAGCGGGGAGGCTCAATTTGGTGCACTGCTTTGGCATGTCTCTGACATCTGCTGCTTTTTTCAGCTCGCAAGGAGTCTGCCAAGGAGAAGCAGCTGAAAGAAGAGGAAAAGATCCTGGAGAGTGTGGCAGAGGGCCGAGGTATGGTTGTAGTCAGGCAAGGGGAGAGGTGGACTAAGCCTCCTCCCTAGCCCCAGGCATGTTATATCTGAAGGTCCTGGCCTCTGGGAAGCAAGAGCCATCCCTGAGCCAGATCTGTCTCCTCAGCTTTGATGTCAGTGAAGGAAATGGCCAAGGGAATCACATATGACGATCCAATCAAAACCAGGTATGTCTTTCTAGTCTGTGGAAAAGCAGTCATCTTTACTTGGAATGGTATGTAGCTGAGCCTGGCAGGGACACCCCAGAGCCAGCTGTGCCTGGGACCTCTCTTGACCCCCACCACCCACTCACAGTTGGACACCTCCCCGTTATGTCCTGAGCATGTCTGAAGAGCGGCATGAGCGCGTGAGGAAGAAGTATCACATCCTGGTGGAAGGAGATGGTATCCCACCACCCATAAAGAGCTTCAAGGAAATGAAATTTCCTGCAGGTACTGGGAATTTGATGGTCAAACAACTGTGAGCCTGTGTCCCAGCCTCCCCTGAGCTTAGCATCTCAGCGATGAGTCAGGTAGTGAGAATGGAGGGATTTGAGGAGGGGTTTCTTTAGGTTTGAATTACATTTGCCCCAGTTGTCCCTATTTACTGTCCTCTGCCATTAGGGAGCTTCAGTGGGCAAGTGACATTAGCCTTAAATGGACCTGGGTACAAATCCTGCCTCCACTCAGCCTAGAAGTCTTGGACAAGTCTATTTTTCTCTCTCTCTTTCTCTGGGCCTCATTTGTAACTCAAAGAGGGTAGTGCTAATTTTACAGCTTTGGGGGCCTGATAAAGTATCCATGAGACACAAGGATGATGCTAAAGTTGTTTTCCATAGCCATCCTGAGAGGCCTGAAGAAGAAAGGCATCCACCACCCAACACCCATTCAGATCCAGGGCATCCCCACCATGTGAGTATGGGGGGCCCTGAAGAGGGTGGTGATGGGAAGGAGTAGTCACTAGGTATCCATCTGGAGACCCATTCCCTGCATTCTACTGAACCTGATCATCGGGCCTGTTCTCTCCCAATAGCCTGTCTGGCCGTGACATGATAGGTATTGCCTTCACGGGTTCAGGCAAGACATTGGTGTTCACATTGCCTGTCATCATGTTCTGCCTGGAACAAGAAAAGAGGTTACCTTTCTCCAAGCGTGAAGGGCCCTATGGACTCATCATCTGTCCCTCAGTAAGTAAGCCAGGCTGGAGGGCAGGGCAGAGACAGGCCTGCCTTCTGGTGCTAACCTCTGCCCCTGTGCCTGCAGCGGGAGCTGGCCCGGCAGACCCACGGCATCCTGGAGTATTATTGCCGCCTGCTACAGGAGGATAGCTCCCCACTCCTGCGCTGCGCTCTCTGCATTGGGGGCATGTCTGTCAAAGAGCAGATGGAAACCATCCGACAGTGAGCATAAGCACCCCCTGGGCCTCCCCAGAGCCCCTAGATAAGCCAAAGGGCCCTTTGCTTTAACTACCCCCACATACCCTTACAGAAACCTTCTGTGGACCTAGTCCTCAAGAAGCTTTTTGTCTGATGGTGAGATCAGTTGGGTTGGGACAGAGGGATGTGGTAAGGTACTATGGAAGGACAACAGATGGAATGGGGACATTTGGGAGGTCAGGGGGTCAGGGCATTCTGGGCAGAAGGCACAGAGGTGGAGGACCCAGGGTTTCCAGGAAGGTCAGAGCCATCCAGTGTGGTCCATCATGGAAGCTGAGGCACTAGGGCAGGGCTGGATCCATGGCCTTTCCACACAGCGCAGTCCCTAGGAGACAATGCCAGATGCCCTGGACCAGGCTCTGGGGTCACAGACCGGCCAGACCTAGACCCTTCTTTCCAAGGCATTCCCAGTCTCAAGGAAGATTCAGATACAGAAAAGATTAATTCCGCATACCAGGAAAGTGAGCCCGTCAACACCTACAAAGGGAGTTACAGGAGCACAGACTAAGGCCTATTTGGAGATTCAGATAAACCCTCCTGGGGGCAAGGGGAGTGAGTGATCTAGAAGGGGGAAGGATATGCAAGCAGAGGTGACTCATGGCTGGGTAGGAGCTCTGGAGCAGAGCAGTGGTCAAGAAAGCTGTAGCCCCTTCCAGGAGAGATGTGTTTTGCAAGTAGGGCAGGGTGGCGGAAGTGATGAGGGGACAGATGAGGAGAGACAGGAAAGAGGCCAGAGGGCAGAATGAGCAGAGTGGCAGCCCTTAGGTGCAGGGATGGGCAGGTAGCCCTGACCTCAGGGTCTCTTCTTGATCTCCAGTGGTGTGCATATGATGGTGGCCACCCCTGGGCGCCTCATGGATCTGCTGCAGAAGAAGATGGTCAGCCTAGACATCTGTCGCTACCTGGCTCTGGACGAGGCTGACCGCATGATTGACATGGGTTTCGAGGGCGACATCCGCACCATCTTCTCCTACTTCAAGGTGCCCATGCCTGCCTGGCCAGGGCTTCTGGCCACCCTCCCCAGGACGCCACATTCAACTGTGGCAGGCCCTGAGGCCCTGCACTGCATACCCACTGGCCCTGATTCAGGGGGCTACATCCCAGCTCCTTGGTCTTCCCAGGCCTCCCATTCCCTCATTCCCACCCTACTCTTTTTCAGGGCCAGCGGCAGACCCTACTTTTCAGTGCCACCATGCCTAAGAAGATTCAGAACTTTGCCAAGAGTGCCCTGGTAAAGCCTGTCACGATCAACGTGGGACGTGCCGGAGCCGCCAGCCTGGATGTCATCCAGGTAGGCAGGCGCTCCTGATGAGGACACCTTCTAGGGTCTCTTTTGTGAGGGTTGGATCTGGCTAGGCTCCATCAAAGCTGTTGGAGTAGGGTTGAGGGACCACCTTGTGGTCACTGGGGGTTTCATCTAAGCCTCAGCCCTTAGCAGCAGACATTCTTAGGGTGACCAGTCCTTGATGACAATAGGCTTCTGGTCCCCTCCCAGCCAGGATTGGGGGCCCAGGCTCTGTGGCAGGGTCATGGCTGGTGAGCCCATTTGCAGGCCCACCTGACCTGGCCCCTGTGGTGGCAGGAGGTCGAATATGTGAAGGAAGAGGCCAAGATGGTATACCTGCTCGAGTGCCTACAGAAAACACCCCCACCCGTGAGTGCAGCCAGCCAGGCTGACCCTGGACCTCTGGGATGAAGGGGAGAGGGCAGTGAGGGGTAGTATGCTGGAGAAGGTTGGGCATGCCCAGTTGGAGTCAACCCTCATGACTGGAGTTGGTCCTCTGGACAGGTGCTCATCTTTGCGGAGAAGAAGGCAGATGTGGATGCCATCCACGAGTACTTGCTGCTCAAGGGGGTTGAAGCGGTGGCCATCCATGGGGGCAAAGGTCAGAGTAGTGCATGCATAGGCATGGATTCTGCTGCCATTGTAGCCCCTCACCTAAACCCTTTCCCTGCCTGGTGAGCCTAGCACTACTTCCCAGACTCCTGCTGTCACTCTGATGGCTCCTGCCTAACCTTCCCCAGACCAGGAGGAACGGACCAAGGCCATCGAGGCATTCCGGGAAGGCAAGAAGGATGTCCTGGTGGCCACAGACGTAGCCTCCAAGGGCTTGGATTTCCCTGCCATCCAGCATGTCATAAATTATGACATGCCTGAGGAGATCGAGAACTACGGTGGGGAGCTTGGGGGTCAGCGGTGCGGGCTAGACCCCAACCCATGGGCAGTGGGCCAGAGGATCTTTTCCCTCTCTCTGCAGTGCACCGTATCGGCCGTACCGGGCGCTCAGGAAACACAGGTATTGCCACGACCTTCATCAACAAGGCCTGTGGTAAGTCTGCCACCAGGGCCACCTCAGCTGTCCCCTGGGTCATCTGCCTGTGGCTACATGGGTCTCGGCTACAGGGCCCAGGGTTGGTCCTGATGGTTCCATCCTTACCTCCACAGATGAGTCGGTGCTGATGGACCTCAAAGCCCTGCTGCTAGAGGCTAAGCAGAAGGTACCACCCGTGCTGCAAGTGCTACACTGTGGAGATGAGTCCATGCTGGACATTGGAGGTGACTGTGGAGCAGGAGTGGGGGTCCAGTGGGGGGGGGGGGGGGGGGACATGACAGGAACACCAGAAAACAAGTTTGTGCTGCACATCAGAGGGCAGGGGCAGGAGGTCCTGGGGGAGCCAAGGTCTGGGATATGGAGCCTGGCCTTGCAATCATTCTGACTCTCACCCCTGTGCCCCCAGGAGAGCGTGGCTGTGCCTTCTGTGGTGGCCTGGGCCATCGAATCACGGACTGCCCCAAACTGGAGGCTATGCAGACCAAGCAGGTCAGCAACATTGGCCGCAAGGATTACCTGGCTCACAGCTCCATGGACTTCTAAGCCATCTATCATACCTTGTCTCCAAGAGGCCTCAGTCTCTAGCCACCTCCCACATACACACCAGCCCCTTGGACAAAAAGCCAGCATCCTCGGCCCAGCTGGCCTGGGCTGGGCCAGGCTGGGCCTGGCTGCCTGCTCCCTGTGTCCCCCAGGATTCTATTTTTGTTCCCCTTTACCCCAGTTGTCATTAAAGCACAAGCCTCTCTGGTCTCAGCCCAGCCCCGCCTCTGTGTTTCGTCTTACCTGACCCCTGCTTCCTGGGTAGGCCTCACCCTCTGACTTCCATAGCCCCTCTGAGGCAGGGAACTGGCATCTCCTACTGCTACCGCCAACACTCAGCCTGCTGGGTCTTAGTTGTGGAAGCAGCCATGTAGCTGGGGTCCCCTTCTGGGGGCTCTGGCTATCTCTGGGCTAGCTGGATTGCTGACTCGAGAGACCGCATTGGTGGGCCAAGGGGAAATGGTTGGGTTTTCTGGTCTCTGGTTGGCTCTTTATAATCTCCAGCCTTGCCCCAGCCTCCCTCTTCCTGTCAGCTGAATGAAGCTCTTGGGGCCCCTTGGGAGGCGACTTCCTGCCTCAGGCCCCCTGCCCACTTGCCGGCCCACACAGGCTCCCAGTAGGAACCCTCTGTTCCCCTCACCAAGGGGGTAAGCAGATGCCACAGGACTGCTGCTCAAGCCACTAGTGCTCACTTACCTCACTCCGTGCCCAGCTCTCTGTTGGGTTCAGGATCCAGGCAATCCAGATAGACGTCTGCTGGGAAGCTCCTAGGTAAGTGGCAGAGGCAGATGAGAAATGAATAACGGGGTGGCGGTCAGGAGACCGCGGGCAAATGGAACAGGATTTCAGCATCTGGCAAGGGGTAGGCAGAGGAAGAGCACTGGCAACGATTTCTCTGTGCCCGGCACTTCATGTGCAAGACCACATGCTTATCCCAGCAGGACAGCAGTTGCTCAAGCCATGTTTGTCACTTGGTGTTTGGTTTGGGGCAAGTTACCTAATGTTTCTGAGCCTCAATTTCCTCATCATTGAAATGGCAATGAGCATGCAAAGGACATGGTGTCAAGCTACTGGAGCTCGGGGCTGCCCGGACTGCACTGGATACAAAGCCAGGTGGAAAGACCCTTGGAAGGATTTCCTGCCCGCACCCCATATGTGACCCCAAACGGTATTGCTTAGCCTGGTTACACATTCCTTTCTAAACGTGGCATTGAATGAGTGACATGAGTCTGTCCCCAGAATTCAGACACACACTCAGAGCCCCGATATTAGCCTCTGGCAAGGTGAGGCAAAAAAAAAAAAAAAAAAGTGCCCAGCAAGAAGCAAAGTTTAAAAAAGAACATGTGAACTCTCTAGGGGCCTACTGGGGGCACACCACCCACACTCACAAGACCAGGCCTTGCCACGAGGACTGAGCTTCACTGGTGGGGCCCTGGTGCTCAGACAGCGTGGGGTGGTCAAGGGGACCTCCCAGGGGAAGAGGCAGCCTGGCGCTGGAGTGGCACAGTGATAGGGGGTTCCCTGGAGGCATTGGGCTGAAGGGAGGTAGAGGCCGGAACACAGCATCTTGAGTGATGCACTGAGGAGCCCAGGCTAGACCCAAGGGCAGTGGGAAACCAGGAAAGGCTTGGGAAGGGGAGAGACCGGTTGGTTTGGGGCTGATAGAAAGGACCATGGTGGGCCCTGTGGGACAGTGGTTCAAAGGGAGATGTGAGGCTGGCAATGGACAGGGGCTGTGAAGACAGGAGCAAATGAATATTAGAAATATTTCCAAGATAAAGACAAGCAGAGTAGGACTGAGAGGGTACCAATCAGGGCTCAAGAGTGGGAAAGCAGGGAACTGGCCAGTCTGGCTAGAGAGGGGGTCCTGGGGCAGGGCTGTGGGAATGTCAGGTGCTGGGGTGTACAACCACCCTGCACAGAGGAGAGGTTGGAGCTTATGACTCACAGCCAGCTGACCCAGGTGCAGACATAGGTCATTTGCCATCCAGCGGTCTGAGGCCCCTGCCAGGGCCAGGCACATGTGGGCACCTTGGGCCAGCTGAACCCCAAGGGAGAAATATGTGATGCCCCTACCCATTCCTAGCTCCTTTACTGAAGACAGGCTCCCCTCCCCCTCCCCAGCCCTGCAGCTGCCTCTCTGGACAGAGGGAGGGGGAAGTGGCCAGAAGGGGAAGTGTGAGGAGTTCCCCTCTGGCCTGTCACCAGTCTCCTCGGGCCGTCGGAGTGGCAGCCCTGGGGCCTGGCTGCGGCCATGGAGCCTCTGGAGACTCCCATCAAGGACGGCATCCTCTACCAGCAGCACGTCAAGTTTGGAAAGGTGAGGACCCTGGCTGGCAGGCAGCTGCCCAGGACAGTAGGCTTCTGCCCCAGCCTCAGCCTACCAGGACCTAGGAGAATGGGGAAGGGAGTCAGGGTGGGGGACCCAAGCAAGGTGTTGGGGAGTAGAACAGAACCCCATTCTCAGCTTGAGTGGGTTGGGCTGAGTGGGCCTTTTTGAGACTCTGCCTTGCTTACAGATGGGGAAGCCAAGTGTGGGGAGGATCTAAGACTCCAAACCTTGGGGCAGAGCAGAGCTGCAAGGGTAGCTAACCCAACAGCCTTCCGCCCTGTGTAGTAGAGGCACCTAGGCCCCTTGAGAGAAGGCCGGGGGCTGAGCTGGAGGAGCCCCACCCTGCAGAAGAGGGCTCAGCTCCTCCCAGCTCTGTTAAGGGACATAGGGGAGTTTACCTTTCTCACCAGGCGGTAGGCCCTACACCCTCACAGCTCTGCTGCAGCTGCTGCCTGGTCAGATAAACAGTCTGTTTCCTTTGCTTTACGCTATTTGCATGTTTCCTTCCTTGCCATCATGAGACTGAGGCCTTCCTCCTGCCCCAGGCCTTGTCCCTCTGGCCCAAGTGATCTTTTCTTTGGGTGTTAGGGGGTACCAACATAATGGTAGTGTCAGGTGACCTGCTTAGCTGCTAGATACTTCGGAGACATGATCCAGTAGAAGCCTCAACCTTGTGTTCTCATAACTTTTTGAGATATGAGGGCACTAGTGCCCGGGGGGGGGGGGGGGTCACAGGCAATTTGTGGAGTGGATTTGAACCCACAAATGACTGGCCCCAAGCACAGACTTCCCCCTGCTGGGCTGGCCCTGGCAAGGCCTCCTCCTCTGGGGCAAGCAGAGGCCAGCCTGGGTGGTCAGGAGCATTTGCCAAGCAGCTTGTGCAGAGCTGAGCTATGGGGAGAACTGCTACCCAAGGGTCTTATCCCTCATCCTCATCTCCCACAGAAGTCCTGGCGAAAAGTATGGGGTCTGCTGTATGCAGGAGGCCCATCAGGTGTGGCACGGCTGGAAAGCTGGGAGGTCCGGGATGGTGGCCTGGGGCCAGCAGGTGACAGGTCTGCGGGACCTGGCCGGCGTGGGGAACGGCGGGTCATCCGCCTGGCTGACTGCGTGTCTGTGCTGCCTGCTGATGGTGAGAACTGCCCCAGAGACACTGGTGCCTTCCTGCTCACCACCACAGAGCGCAGTCATCTACTGGCCGCACAGCATCGCCAGGAGTGGATGGGCCCCATCTGTCAGCTGGCCTTCCAGGTGAGCATAAGGCTGGTGGGCAGAGCAGCCAGGGGCCAGAGGTGGACCACCTGACTCCCCCACCTTGTTCATCTCCATGCTCATTCACATCCTATCACTCAGCAAGTACCTGCCAAGTACCCATAAGCCTAGGGAAATAGCCCAGAAACCCACAGAATGAATCTCCAGTGGCCATACATGCTATGGAGAACATGAAAGCCCGAGTAGGACCAGGGGTGAATGGCAGGACATTAGATGGGAAGGCCTCTCAGGAAGGGACAGTGAGACTGAGTCCTCAAAGACAAATAAGGACCCACCAGGCAAAGATCTGAGGGAAGAGTGATGCAGACACTAAGGTCTGAGAAGCGTCCTGAACAGAGGGAGCAGAGTGGGCAAAGGCCCTGAGGCAGGGAAAAGTTTGGTATGTTAAAAGGGCAGAGCTCCTTTTGGGTTTGAGCTCGAGGAGCTCGTTTGCCCCGCACGGTGAAGAAAAGCTATATTCTAGTTGCTTGATGGGCCCGTGGCTCCAGGTTCGGGAATGCGAAGCTGCTCTATGTGCGAAGGCTTGAAGAAACTGCTGGCAGGAGGGGGTTCCTCAGAATATTCCAGAAGTGTTGGTATTTGAAGGTGTGGAGGGAAGTGCCTTCGGGCTGAGGCGGTGATCAAACCGTAGGGAGCTCTATTGTCGTGTTTTTGGAATGCACAGACAGGCACCCTCTAGATGTATTCATTCTTTTTAAAACCAGTGTTTCTGCTCTTGGTTAGCCAGAAGTGAATGGAATTGTTAGCTCTTTTAAGGCAACCGTGAAAAAAGAAATAGTGTAGCGCGAGACCTTTCTGTTCTTGTTTCTCATTGATGGCGACTGCATGCAAGCATTGTGAACGCGACAGATGTGTAAGAAGTTATTAGGTGGTCACTGATTAAATATGGACCATGTAAAAATAATAATAATAATAAAAAAATAAAAAAAATAAAAGGGCAGAAAGGCCAGTGTGGCTGGAGGGTAAGGAATGGGTAGGAACCTAGGAGGGAGCAAAACTGGAGAATATGGTGGGACCAGCTGAAACTACTTTAGGACACATGCAGAGTTTGGAATTTTATTCTGAGTGAGAGAAGCCTTTGGCGGGGGTGGGGAGTCTTTGGGGAGCCAGGGACTGAGAGCTTTAAAGCTTCACAGGGTCTGTGATAGACCAAAAGGAAATGAGGCTGGAGGTTCCTCAAAAAGTTAAACATAGAGTTGCCATATGACCCAGCAATTCCACTAGTAGGTGTATACCCAAGAGAATTGAAACAGGTGTTCAAATAGCACTTGTATGAGAACACTCAGAGCAGCGTTATTCACAATAGCTCAAAGGTGCAGACAACCCCAATGTCCATTACCAATGAATGGATAAACCAAATGTAGTCCATCCATACAACAGAATGTTACATGGCCATATAAAAAAGAATGAGGTACTGATATATGCTAATACCATAAATGAACCTGGAGACCATCATGCTAAGTAAAAGGAGCCAGACACAAAAGACCACTTATTAGTATGATTCTATTCATGTGAAACACCAAGAATAGGCAAATCCATAGGGACAGACAGCATATTTGTTGTTGCCAGAGGCTGGGGGAAGGGGGACCGGGGAGTGACTGCTTATGGGTACAGGGTTTCCATTCGGAACAATGAACAAATTCTGGAATTAGATAAAGGTGATCGTTGCACAATCTTGTGACTATACCAAAACCACTGAATTATACACTTTAAAATGGTGAAATGGTAACTTTTATGTTGTGTATTTCAACACAATATTTTAAATTAAAAACAAACAAATGAAGAAAATGAACAGGAGCAAGAAAACCAGTGAGGAAGCTGTTGCATGTGACCCTGGCCATACTACTATGGGCCAAGGTGGTTGTGGAGGAGGGGCTGATAGAGCTCCGAGGAATTGAGGGGATGAGGAGTTGGAAGGGGGAGTTGACGAAAGAGGGCTTGGGGAGGATCTAGTAGCCAGTTCACTCATGTGTCCCATCCCTGAAGCTCCTGCCCCTTTGTCACTCCAAGCTGCTAGGGACACATACAGGCAGGCCCAGTCCCTGGCCAAGTGCAGGTGCAATGGGGACATCCTCTGTGTGTCACTACTTTACAGCTCTCGGCACCCTCAAGGGGGAAGCTGGGGGTTGCAGGTGGGAAAATAGAGGGGTGCCCAAGGTCATG